GCGTGTAGCGTCGCACCATTTCAGGTGGAATCGAGTACCAAACGTCCTTCGTTCTCTCTCACAACTCCATCCTGCCATTTGGAGGGGCCGTATATTTCGCAAGCTGCGATTTCAGATGACTCCATACATTTTCTATGGGATTCATGTCTGGAGATTGCGGTGGCCACTTCATAGTTTGAAACTTTTGGTTCAATAACCAATTTTTCACCAAATGGGATGTGTGCTTTGGGTCATTGTCTTGCTGAAAAATGCAATTTTCAACAGCCAGACCCATGTTGCCAATGACTCCTCCCAAATTTTCTTGAAAAATGTTTAGGTATTGCTCCTTACGCATTATCCCATCGATTAACAGTAAGGGCCCAACTCCATTTGTACAAATACAGCCCCAAACCATTATGGACCCGCCACCGTGCACCGCACTGTATTTGCCGATTGGACTGTGGGATTCCTAGTCCAATACCACGATCGTCCGTCTGACTTAAAACGATTAATTTTAGTTTCGTCTGACCAAATAACCTTGAAAATTTATTTTTTTAGCATTGTTTAAGCTTTTTATTTGTAACTTACGGCATCCCAATCAGCTAGACCCCAATTTTCATGCATTATAGCACAGTTTCTAACGCAAACTAATGTGCCTGTTAGCTAGAAATGGTTTTTTTTTCTTTCATTGGCCTTAAGCCCCAATCTGCCGAGACTGCGACGGACTGTCCACTCACTGGCATTTAAATTTAACACATTAGCCGCTTTTATTGGCATAAAGTCGCGATTGCCTGTAACTAAGTTAGCCAAGTGGCGCGTGTCACGTTGGCTTAAAAGTCGCGGTCGGCCTCCTTTATTGATTTTAATGTTTTCTGAACTGTTTTTGTTTTTAACACTGCACAGTCATGTGGCTAACACCAAATTTATTAGCCACTTTCCTAACGGATTCGCCCCTATCAATAATTCGATTATTTCCTTTTTCTTTTCATCAGCCATCATAATTATTTTGCATATTGACTTAAAATGATCAAGGCTTATCGATTTAAACAAAAACAAATAAGTTTTAATGGTAAAAAAAGCTTTGAAACAAAAGTAAAAAGGTTTTGCTCTGCGAGTGCAAAACTGTAACATTTGACTTTTTTTACTCTTTGCTATTGTATTTCTCTTATTGCTAATCAAATGTCTTCAAATTTATAAATAAAAGAGCCAAATATTTCACTAACAAAACAAGACTATGATCATAATCATGCATAAAGTATAAAAGATAATACAGACCGTTGAAGTGAGAACATTGAACGTGTGTTACAGTTTTGCTCGTCAGTGTATAATGCTTTAGGTGAAATGTAAGTGGAGAAGAAGTCGCTGAATCCATATGGAATATATCAGAATCAGCGGTTCAAGCTATGCTTAAGAAATAAGATCACCTAATAATACGACATATTAATCCAAATTCGATATTATTTATCAGTTATTTGAAACTATCTCGTACGACAGCTGAAGCTGGAGCCTTCCAATTGGCTTTATAGCTTCATAAACTGTTGCTGGGATCAGTCATCGGAAAAGCCTTGAGCCTAGAGTACTCTTACTTTTACTACTGAAAACAGGTGTCAAATGCGTTTGAGCATCTTCTTCAAATACATAAGACTCCATTCAAATGCTTTAAATATATATGTATTTACATACGGAATACTTGTATCCTTCATAGGCTTGCAGCTTGCATTCCCTTTCACTAAGCTGTGCTAGGCCTTAGTTTTGGGCCTAAAACCGTTGGAGGCTTGCAGCACATTCACAAATCATTCGCCTTCATTCATTTTAGCTGGCAAATCGGAGCTCGGAGTTAGGAGGGTGTGGCTGCCTTCGAGTTTGTTTTTTATTGTGCGACTGCTACTGAACTCTTTTGCTGTGCAAAAAAAATCGTAATGTTTCTGTGACCATTTGTGTTGGATTGCGACAGTTTTTGTTGTTGTTGCCGAGGCCGAGCTTGTTCTGCCAGTTGCATATCAGCTTGTGGTAGAGGTCCGGCGGATAGTGAGGAGTGAATCGGCAGCTACTGGTTCGTTTCACCTGGTAGCTGGTCACTGCGCTTAGTTCATAGCTTGGATTTACATACTCGCTCATAAAATAAGCAGGGTATATTGGTTTTGTCAACTCAGTTCCTTGAAGGCAATGCGTTTGCTATGGATTCTAGAGAACAAGACACATTTCGAAAATATTCTAAAAAAATGTTTAAAATAATCAAGAAATTTTATTGTAGATTTTTGGATACTCTCCCATTCCATCGCGAGATGCATATAAATTTGTTAGTTTTATCTTTATTTGATATGCCTTTAGACCATGATTAGTTTTATATCTTTTTAATGTGTCTGCTAGTTTCTTTTGTGTGTTATGGACGGGCATAGCGTAGTCGACTGCACCCAATTGCAATATTCTTACTGGTTTTTATTTGTATATTTGTTTTTCTTTTCGTGTCTGCAGAGTGTCTATCACGCTTTAGTGCCTGTCTCTCTTCCTCTCTCCACTCTCTCTCCCTCACTCCACTCTCTCTCTCTCTCTCTCTCTCTCTCTCTCTCTCTCTCTCTCTCTCTCTCTCTCTCTCTCTCTCTCTCTCTATCTCTCCCTGTCTCCTCTCTCTCTCTCTCTCACTCTCTTTATTTTTATATACATCTTTCCCTCTCCTTCTTGATCCAAACATTCGTTTTCATTTGGGATAGCAGTCAAAGAGGCAGCTTTGGTCCAAGCTGTAGCCTACCCATGGCAATTGCATTCGCCTGGTTTTTTGTGCACATTATGACTTTTGCTTATTTGCTTTATTACGCTTTTCCACACACACTCGCACACACACACACACGCACGCACGCACATTCAATACGACTCTTGCACATGCGAATGCATTTGTGTCTCTGTCTTCAGTCCCTCCCTTTCCCTTTCGTTAGAGTTTGACTTTGCTCCAGCGAGTTCGTTTAGCGCCTGTATATGCCGAAGACAACTCGGCTTGGCTCGGCTCGGCTCGGCTTTTGGGCCGTCCATTGGCTTCCAGCGATGGCAGCTTTGGCGGCGCCTGATCAGTCGCGGTTTTTACTTTCATCGCAACGGTTGAGCAGCGGTCGTCATCCAAGTCCCAAACAGGTGGCCCTCGTGTCCAGTTAACAGTTGTGTGCCTCTTTTTTCCAGTGTGTCTGTTGTTGTTTTTTTTTTCGTTTTTTTGTTATTATTGTTGTTGTTTACTTCTTCAATTACCACCCAGTGCGCATCCAACACACCCATTAAACCCCTCAGCACCCGCCATAACATGGCGTGGGCTTATTGATGTTGTTGTTATTACGATTGGCAAACAATGGAATTGCAACAAGTTGCACCACTTTGCTTGCACATCCCCGGCCGCAACTCAAGTGGGTTGTGGTAACTGGGTCCAAAACAGTTCGAATGGGTGATTCGTAAAATTGGTGACTTACAAGTGACTAACAAGATCTAATCAATCTTAATACGACGGAATGGACTTGTCACCGGCCTAGACTACTTGAATACCTATTTGGCTTTATTTGGGATAGGTACTTGTGGGTCGAAACGAAGTTACGTAATTACTAATGATTAAAGATTTATATTTGCTTATCTGTATTTTATTGAAGATTTTCTGCTTGAATATCTAGTAAAGACTTTATGATAAATATAACGAGAAAATGGTTTCGAATCTCAATTTGAAAAGTCTTAGGCCAAGATTAAACAAGACTGCTAATCTACTGAGCTGAGAGCTATATTCTGTAAAAATCATAATACTCTTTATAATTGCAATAGTTATCATGTATATATGTAGTGAGGATTCAGATTTGAACAATTAAGATTCTTACTAAGCTAAAGGTCTATAGATGCCTATGTTTGCTCATGCATATAAAATAAAGGGAAACTAAACAGATGACAAAAAGAATCAAATAGAGTCAGTTTGCGAATAAGAGTCTCAGGCATAATTTAATCGATAATCCATTTAATATGGGTTTAAAACAGTGTATTTTTGGTCATAGTTAAGCCTGTTACTAATTTTAAGCTGCTAGATAGTCTACTAGAAAAAGACGAAACAGGGAGTTAATTGGGAGAAAGACCACAAGTATAGGACCTGATATGTAAAATATAAAATAGATAAGATCATTTGATAACTTGTCAGATCAGCTGGTATAGATCTAATAGATCTCAATTAGTGCTTGATTTCTAGTATTTGCTTTACACTTAAGCTCAGTTAGCAAATCAATTACTCAGATCGTAAAGAGAAAGAAATTGATAATGGGCTAATGATTGGTGGAGGCAGCGAACCCGCCAATTTCGAGCGGTCAATATAGATCATATAGAAATTGCACAATAAGGTGAAAACTGCGAGCTGCACGGGCGAAGATCATCATCGTCGCAGCAATGCGAATCGATGGCGAGATGCGGAAGTTATGTAAGAAAGGCTAACTCGAGACATCAGTAGCAGCAAAATTTTCCCGCTAACAGCATTCGGCACTCGGCTTTGGCCACAGACAACGACCAGACCACTCAGCGTTGCAACGCTGCAACACGTTTAACAAGTTTAACCAGGAAATTTTGTAATTTTCCTCTGGCTGCTTTCACAGCCACAGCCACAGCCGCAGTAGCCTCAGCAGCTGCCAGGCTTTGGCAATCCGAGCAACCTGCGCCCGCCTAGAAACAATTAAAGCCATAAATGTGCAAACAAACGAAAATGAAAATGAAAATGAAAATCAAATCGGATCATAAACAACTGACCAAAACTTTATATCCGAGCAGGGGGTTGGGCAATCGGCATAACATCCAATAATGTTTATTGAACTCTAATCCATAGATATCCATGAACTAAAGACTAGAACGATGACAGCGAGAAGTGAGATTCGCAACTTCGTGCAGACTGAAAATAAAACGTGAAAAATAAAAATAAATAAAATGCAGAAGAGTGTTTAGAAAACTCAACTGCAACGACATCGAGCTAAAGTCAGGCTATAGTAGCAGCAAGATCCTAGTGAGTAGTAGCAGGAAAAGTTGTGCTTAACACTATGTCAAGGATATTAAGGCTTGGCTTCGCAACTGTGGCCTGGTTGCTTGTGATCCTGTTCACTGGCCAACTGGCTGCAGCTCTCAATCAAACTGAGCCTCAAGCCGCGAATAGCTCGGATCCAATCAAGGCCTTGGCCTCTACAGCGCAGCTGGGAGACTTTGCAGCACATCGATTCACCAGCCGCAACAACATTACCATCTTGCATGAGGTGGTTGACGAGGAGGAAGAGCCTCCTTTAACGCTTAACACTCACGAGGTGCTGCCACAGAAGCCGCTGAAGAAGAAGCCTTATCTGCCGCTGGACAAACTGCTGCCCACCATTGAGTATGTGAAGCCTCACACGCTTAAGGACTACGAACTGCATCCGGTTACATTTGATTTTAACTTGGGCGACCTGGAGGATCTGGAGCATGAGGTGATCAAAAAGGGTGACCTCAGCAGCGAGGAGCAGCATGTTCTCAGCAATGGGAATGTACCCGAGCTGAGCTACAAGCCCACAAATCCCGATGACAACGACACTGTTGATGTGGACATTTCAGCGCTGCCCGACTCTGACTTTCAGCCAACCACAACAGCTGCCACAGCCACAACAACCACAGCAGCAACAACAACAACAGCGACAACAACCACAACCAGCAGCACCACCACAACAACAACCACAACCAGCAGCACACACATACTGAAAATTTTGAAGAACAAGCCCTCCACCAAGAAGGGACGAGAGCTGCTTAAGCAGAGCGACGACGAACTGCAGCTGAAGACTCTGGGCAGCACCATCAATAGCATCAGCCACTACCTGAGCAGCAATGGCACGGGGAATTCGAACAGCAGCACCATTGCTGAGAGTCTGTATGGGTCAGCCAACTACTTTCAGATCGTGACCAATCTGTACGATCACTTCTACTGGCAAATCTCCGAGATACGAACCAGCGTTCGCACCGGCTGCGGCCTCGAGATGCAGGCCTACCTAACCGGACTGCACTCCAGCTACGAGTGGGCACAGAAAGGTGAGATCAAATCTAATTGAATTCTGAAACAGCACCGAATACTGAAAAGCTGTGCAAGCCAAGAGCTGAGCTGTGCTCCTATTAAAGTGTTTTAATTCACATATCACTCTAGAAAACTCGAACTGTGTGAAATAGAAGTCAAACTTAGTCGAGTTTAGCTCATTGATTTGTTATTATCTTCAAAAAGATTTTAATCTTATATAACACATGTTTCAATAAGCAAGTTTTTACTTAGAAAAATCTTTTTAAACGGGCTTTAAAAGCTTCTAGCTGCGAACGCTGATTAGATGTGATAAGGAAACATATACCTTTTCTAATATTTCGACTGACAGCATAATCATTGAGGCGCTTCTCATATAGCTTGATTCTTTTTATCTTCAAAAGGAAAGAATCTAGAGATCATTTAATTAATTGTTATTTATCAGAAAGATTTGAAGCTTTTCATATTTCGATCCTAGTGATCCTAAATTTCGATTACTGATCTGTGATTATAGCATACGATGCCTCGGGACGCTATCGCGGCCAGCTGCTGTTTGGCAATGACAAGTGGCTGGGACAGCTCACATTCTGTCTGGAGCTAAACAGGCAGATCTCTGGGAGCGGGGAACGAAAGCACTTTGAGCTGGAGTTCTATGTGGCAGATATTTCGCTGCAAATGCCACGCCTCAATCGGACAGTAAGCTGAGCTAACATTTCAAGTATTGCCTGCTAAATAAAAGTGCATTTGCAGCAGCAGTTGCTCAGCCTGGGCGAGTGCCTCCCCAAGTCCTGCTCGGCACACGATGTACAGTCGATACTCTCGCTGGATCCCTATGCGCGGATGCTGACCATGCTAGGAGCGCACAATGCCAGCGTTCAGCAGCCGGCACTGCAGGTGCTGCGCGTGCGCACCGTACCTGGACTTTACAGCCATTGGCGACAGCTCAAGTTCCAGGTGTTCATGTGAGTAGCTCCGACTTCGCCGAGCCAACAGCAGAGCCAACTTTATCTCTATAACTGCAGAAGCTTTCTGCTTACCCTACTGCTGGTAATGATCGTGGCCACCTACTACCAGATACGCATCGATGAGCGTCGCCTGATTGCGGCGCCGATACCGGCGATCAGCGCCAAATGTGAGGCCGCCAACAAGGGCGGCGACTACGAAACTGCCTACTACGGCAAGCCCTTCGAGCTCTTCCAGATGCGCCCGCTAAGCAGCAACGGGATTGTGGCCACAGAAACGACGCTGGACGCGCACATCGATATGAATAGCAATCGGCAACGCCCTCTGGATGCAGCTGCCAATTCAGCGGAGACCATGCACGGCGAAGGCACAGCCTCCACGTCAGTGGGCGTGGCCGGCAAGCAGGCGGAAAAGCATGAGATGACAGACTACCAGGTGGAAACGGGCAGCTGTGCAGGCGTGGCGGGCACCTACGAAGCCGAACAGCCCATTGGTTTGTGTCCAGACTAAGCTATGCATATAAAAATAAGTTGTTGTCTTGGCTAATTGGGAATGGTAACTTTTGGGCTTTTGTGATGCAATTGAAAATTTCGAATTGGTCTACTTCAGAAGCGAACAGAATTGTTTGAATTTTCTTAAGATTCCAAATGCCTAATATTATATATTAGTGTGGGCCAAGGGCTTAGCTGACTAGTATCCAACAGCTGTCATATATAATATAACTTTTACCCCACTCTTACAGCTCTGCATCAGCAGCTGTTGCTGTGCTTTGCACTGCAAACGAATGCCAAGGCCATACTGAACATAAACAAGACCAAGGAGGTAAGTGCAGCCATATCTTAGAATCAAACAATTTGGCAATTTGGTCTTTGTTCTCAACCCACTTCAGACACACACGTCCTGTTTGCATGGTCTGCGCGTCTTCTCGGTACTCTGGACGATGATGGTGCACACGTATTTGCAAATGTTTGCGATAGGCGAGAATAAGGTATAGTACAAGACTCCGCTAGGTCTAAGATAGGTCCTTTAACTGATCTCTATTTGCTCTTTGCCTTAGTTCGAGCGCGTTATCACGGAACGTTCGTTTTGGTATCAGATCATTGGCAATGCAACCTTCTCCGTGGACTCGTTCTTCTTTATCAGCGGCCTCTTGGTCACCTTGCTCTATGTGAAGCAGGAGCGCAAGCCTTTGGCTCCGTCAAGCAGCTTCTTCAAGCGCAGCTTCGTGGATACTATGATGATGTTCTTGTATCGCTATCTGCGCCTTACGCCCGTCTACCTCTTCGTGGTGTTGTTTAATGACTTTGCCGTCCGTCAGGGTCTTGACTCGTCCGTCTTCCAACCGGCTAAGATCGAGCACAACACCTGCCGCGTCTTTTGGTGGCGCAATATATTGTACATCAACAACTTCTTTCCACAGCACGAGATGTGCATGATGTGGAGCTGGTACATGGCCAATGATATGCAGTTCTATCTCATGGCCTGCCTATTGCTGGCGCTTTCCAGAAAGTGAGCAAGAGCTCGACTCAATCGGCGCCCATTGAAACTATTGATGTGACTCTTTGCAGATACTTCAAGGCTGTGGCAGTGACGCTGGTTGTCTTTCTGGTCAGCTCGTGGAGCATTGCGGGCATTATTTCATTGCAGCATCAATATACCCACAAGGTGGCGCTGCCCTTTGAGTCCTTTGACTTTCTCTACGACAAGCCTTGGCAGCGTGTGGGAGCCTTTATAGTGGGTAAGTCCAAGCCCAGCCCATGATTACCCTGACTCAGATTACCCTGACTCTCTCTATCTCTCTCTTACACCCACAGGCATGTTCACCGGCTATGTGCTGTATAAGGTAAAGACGCCACCGCAAATCTCTCGGCGCCTTAATCTTATTCTCTGGGCCTGCAGTCTGGGCGTTCTATTTCTGGTCATCTTTGGCGTTTGGCCAGGTGAATTGAGCGCAGTAAATACCGCCTTCTATGTGGGCGTTGGACACACTGCCTTTGCGTGTGGCCTCATCTGGATAGTGCTCTCCTGTTGCTGGGGACTTTCGCCCACCGTCAATGCGATACTCTCCTATCGCGTGCTCTGGCCGCTGTCGCGTCTCACCTACTGCGCCTACCTGATCCATCCGATTATCATGTTCATCTGCTCATCTCATATGAGCGGCACCGTTCATCTCAACAATCCCATGATATTGACCACGTTTCTGGGCAATGCCGTTGTCTCTTTCGGATCGTCCTTTGTTATGTCCGCATTATTCGAGGCGCCAGTCATACGCATACTCAAGATCTGCTTCAAGAAGTGAACCCTAGCGCACTTGGCCGATTTGTTGTAATGAAATCTAGTTCTATTTCTTTTTTTTTATGTCGTAATTCAAATTGTAAAGTGTACATAACTGTAGATATACGAGTCCATCCCCATAAGTATATCGACAGGTTGCTAATGTTTAATATTAACAATTATGTTTAACTATATTATTATGTTGTTTCTAGTTGGTTTTGTGTGCGAGTAGTATGTTCAAGTTGTTTGCAAAATATACATATTTAAAACAAGTAAAAAACTCTAGTCGGGGTGCCCGACTAGGAGATACCCTGATCCCAGTGCTATCTGCGTTTTTTAATATTTTCCGTAGTTTGTATCGAGTATTAATAAAAATACAAATAAAAAGTGACCACCACCACACCAAGCTTCGAACCCACAATTTTTACGCAACGCGCATCAACCCTACCAACACCGCCACTTCATAAATAAAACAATAAAATTGTCTCATCGATGCGAGGTTCGAACCCGAGATCAACCGCTGACGAACTCCGCCTCTACCAACGCAGCCACTGCACTGATTGTGTGAGATGTTGCAAATTTGAAGTTGAGTAACAACTGATAATTTAAGCAGTATTCAATCACCATTTCGATACTTCGAATTGAAAAGAATACACGCATTTCAATGTATGTGTGCACACGCATAGGAAAAACCAGTGCGCGTGGCGCTGCTGACATGTGCTTTTGCAAATTGGCCGAACGTTTTGCTTAATAACTTCTGTTTTACTTAATGGATTTTAATGCAATTTTCAGCATATGCTCTACATACTCCATTGGCTTCGTAGAGATGCAAACGCCCTCACATAATGGCCCTACTTTCAACTGAACGAAAATGTTAAGAATGGGCAAATTTGGAGCCGGTATCCAAAATCCAACAAAGCCCAAAATTGCATAAAATATACATAAAACTAAATATAAAATTTGGAGACTCTAGCTCTTAAGACGTCCGAGATATAATTTACTAACTACATTTCAATCATGTTTTTATTCGATAACAATTAAAAGCGAATAGTTATCGATTACTTGAAACAAACTCGATATGCGCGTGCTGTACACGGACCTACAAAAAAAAATTTAAAGGCTATTGTAGAAGCTGAGATAGACGCGTTCACTCATACGGACAGACGGACAAACAGACAGACGGACAGACAGACGGACGGATAGACGGACAGGGCTCACTCGACTCGGCTTGTCGTCCTGATCAAGAATATATATACTTTATGGGGTCTGCCACGCCTACTTCTGCCTGTTACATACATTTGCTCAAAGCCATTATACCCTGATTTCCCATTTTCAATAGGATCAGGGTATAAAAAGAAAATCAATTCACAGATTCTTGAATAGTTTATTGGGTAAAGCTCAGTGAGTGAAGCGCACTGAGTGCGATTTATTGAAGAAGTGAGTGAAATCCTGACGCTAAAGCTTAGGACATAAGCAGATATAGCTCAAAGAGTTAACCTCAGTAAGGTTATGTGAATACGGTGAGCCGAACTAACGAATCAAGCGTAGGAGTCAGACCAATCGATAAAGGCCAAGCGAATCGAGTCAGACTAAGCGCAGAAGGTAAGACATGTTATGCCAAAGAACAAGGTCTCAATGACCTAGGGTTCAATCAGTGATGCTTAGCCAATCAGTCTACGATTCAAGGAGTCAGCAGTGATCTGCAAATATTCTTTAGGATAGTATTTAGTTCACAGAGTAAAGATCAAAATGCATGCATTAGCGTTTAAGTAGTTTGTTTATAAGCGACTGCAGCGACTGAAACTTGGCAATTTAAGTCATATTTATTTAAATAAAAAGGGAGACCGTTATCGTTGCGGCCACAGTGAGCATGGCGCGATCTCATAACAACTTCACGATTTTGCTTTATTTTTACTGGGGATATCAGTACGTTTGGGATACAATAGGCTCTCTAGGAATGCATCCGTTACATCAAAATTAACGCTGGCATAGCCTGCGGAATTCAGCTCGGCTTCCTCGTCTTCAAGCACAAAATAAGCATCACTGGCTGCCGATGAGTCCAGCTCGTATTCAGGGTAGAGTACCTTGGTGGAGTCCCGACAGAATAGACGTATCGCCAGCTGTGCCATGCGTTTCGCTTCCAGGCAGGAGCTGAGCTCCTGGCCGGCACCAGGTCGATGCCCAAAAGCACGATCAAGTTGGGCCAGCAGCCGACGAAAGATAAAGTTTCCATAGCGTCGTCGGTAGCTTTCATTTAGCTGCTGCCGATAGAGAGTGCAGGGCTGAAAATGGGCGAGCACAATGTAAATGAGCAGGATCAGCTGCATGAGAACCAAGAAGCCCAGTGCCAGCAACAGCGACGCCTCCACACTGTCATCCCAATCCAATGTGAAGCGGCTATCAGGCGGATATATTGGTATTAGATAGGTAACCGTCATTTTAGAAGCCGTCAACTCGGTTCGGTCGCCAACTGAACCCCAGTCAAATTTTTGAATTTCGAATTGAGTTTGTGCCTGTAATACAGAGACACATACACCACACAAAACTCGAAAGGTCTAAGAAAGCAGGCTACGTTAACCGAGATACAACTGAACCTATTCTAAAAGCAGAGCTAACTCTGATTCAGCGTATGTAAATCAAGTTACCGTGCTTAAATTAACGATCTTTCAATAGCTTCTTTCTCGGTTCCAGCTGCCATAATCCTCAATTTATATTCAAGTTCAAGTTGACTTAGCTTAACATATACATCTTAGGCATTTATCCATTAGCCAACGGCAATTGGCTAATTGGTTTTCGTTTCTAGAAAGCTTTTAGCTATTCTTCTAATTTCGTTACACTGATAAGGCGTCACGACTTGCATGCAACGGTAGAATATAAAGGAACGATACAAGCGATTGGCTTACACACAGTTTCACCATGACTGAACGTAGAATTACCTGGCTGCTGATCGCAGCAATGGCTTCGAGCTGCTTATTGAAGGGCAGCCTGGCTGGACACACCGATTATTGCCAGCTGTGTGATGACGACGTAACGCATATAGCCTGTGGCAACGATGGGGTGAGTGGAGCGGCGTCAGTTGTCGTTGCTATAGTGCATCATTAACCGAACTTGCAGAGTTTCTCCGACGAGTGCCCGTCGAACGCGAAGCTGCTGACTATAGAGGAGGATGAGCAGCAGGCTATTGTCGCGGCGCACAACGAGGTGCGCCAGCAATGGGCCCAAGGAAATGGCCATGTTAAGGTCAAGGCCTGCCGCATGGCCACCGTCGAATGGGATGCAGAGCTGGCGAAGCTAGCCGAATTGAATGTGAAGCAGTGCGTCATGGAACATGACGATTGTCATAGTACGGACCGATTCATAAACTCCGGACAGAATCTGTTCATTACGGGTTTCTCCGGTATGGGTGCACCGGATATGTCCACCCTCCTGCGCAGCGCAGTCGAAGAGTGGGCACTCGAAGGCAAAGACGTCAAGGCCGGGTATCTAGCCAAGTATCCCGACAACTACAATGGACCGTAAGTCCCGCGAACCACATCCTATAGACAACATTTACTACTCATTTACTCCATCGATAGCACCATTGGCCACTTTACGATGGTGGTCCATGAGCGAAGCATCGCTGTCGGTTGTGCAGCTTCCAACTTTGATGAAGACGGTTTCAACACGTTCTTAGTGGCATGCAACTATGCCACAACCAACTTTATAGGCTGGCCAGTATACTCGGCTTGCCATAAGGCGGGCGAACATTGTAAAGCTGGCAAAAATCCCAATTACCCCGCGCTGTGCTCTACCAGCGAAAGTGTGGATTACAACTTTAATGATCAGGGAATATAATGTTGGTTGGCCCAATAAGAATCCTTTGAAGGACTTTATTACCAAATGATAAAGTTATATCTAAAGATTCAATATATTTATATGCATGCACATTTCAAATCAATTGTATTTTTATTGTTTTATTGGATACTGTTTAGTCCAGCTTGAAAACTTCCGGAGATTTAGATTATAAAAGTCCGAAGCGTCTTCTCTCGGAAGTATCTTTCTTTTAAGACAAAAGACCAACTCACAGAGAGAAAGGGACTTGACTATGTCCACTCGATTCTTGGACCCAATCAATCAATAATGCAAACTCATAAAATATACATACATATTTATATATCATCTAGAATACATAGTAGACGAACTACTTACACTTAAAATAAATATATTTAATAATTAAAATGCCATTTTCAATTGAGAGGTTTAAATACAGAGGTTGCACCAAAATTTTGTTGATTGTAGACTGATTAATAATTTTCTGGTATTCTGTTACAGTTAGCTAAAGGATATCAACATTTTAAAATTGATCCAGGGCTTAATATAGCACTGCACTTGATGAGTCTCGAAAGAAGTTTCAGTTGTAATCATCTGGAAAGGAAATAAACGTTTCTCACTCTCTCTTAACAGTTTTCTTAAAATAATGAACACAAAAATTTTTCTAATTATACGATCGGACAGGTGAGCGTTGAACTGATTAATTGGTTGATTACTTGGCAACGATCGTTTTAAAGACAGTGGGGCGCTTATGGGCTGGCAACTGACTATAGCAATAGGACTTGATTGTCTCCAGATCGACTTCAGCATCGGGCGACAATATGCAAATCACGCCTAAGCGATGCCCCCACAGTTTATTTGGTATGCCCAATACGGCAACATCATTTATGCTCGGATGGGAGATGAGCGCCTTTTTGATCTCCGATCCATAAATCTTATATCCGCCCACATTGAATACATCCGTCGATTTGCTTAGGAAATTAAAGCTGCCGTTGCGATAGGCGCAAATGTCACCGGTTTTGAGAAACTTCTCCACGGACTGGTCCATCGGCGCGACCTGATCCACCGTTCCGGTCGGCCCTAACTTGGCGGGGGTTACTTGCAAAATTGAGTTGACCTTTCGCGGAAATAAATTTGCGCCTGCTATTTCCAATTCGCCGACGACCGTGCTTAGCACTGGCATGTAGCTGGGCTTATTGTCTAAGCCGATGATGGACTCGCTTTTGCAGGTAACCAGCTGGTCACCTTGGTTGTTGACCAGACGGGCCGTGACGCCCATCAAGGGTGCACCCAAGGTGCCCGGACGATAATCCACATTGCTGCTGGGCGACTGCTCGTCGAGCGTGGGACCCAGTACTAGGCCCGTCTCGAGCATTCCATAGTATTCGTAAATATTTTGTCCAGTTATCTCGCGCCAGCGATAGAACACAGACTCCGGCAGCAGGCCAAATGCAGTTGCCATCAGGCGAATCTTCTGCTTGCAGTGATTGATTATGTACTCCACCATGCGCGAGTCCTGGGCAAACATTTTGTCATATTCGGCAATGAGACGTTTGTATATAATGGGCATGGCCAGAAATATGTTCACACGTTGTTTAGACGGGCTATTGATGCCCAGCAGCGAACTCCAAGCGGTATGGCTATCGAATTTCTGCTGCAACAATATGTTGCCACCCACACCGAGCAGAGCGCCGATTGCCGCATGCATGCGATTTATCGAAATGAGCGGCAGCATCGAGTCGGTGGCCTTTAAGTGCCAGCTGGAGACAAGGCACCGCATCTGTGCCTCAATATTCCGATGGGTGAGCACCACGCCGTTTCGACTAGTCGACGAGCTGGGCGTATAGATTAGCATGGCCGGCGCATTCGCATAATAGTCGTTGGGCAGCGTGCTCTCCGGTATGAGAGCACCGTTCAGACCGACCAGCTGCTTGGCGTACATGGCCGTAGAAGCGACGCTCTCCGATGTGGGGACAAAGCTGTGATCCAGCACAATGCTGGCTGTTTGCAGTTTCGTTGCCAAGTCCTGCGTGATGTTCTCGCATTCGGGTGTGCCAATCAATAGCTTGGCTTTGCAGTCGGTAGCCTGTGTAAGCAGTTCATCTGCCGCTTGATTGGGCTCCAGAGGAACAGCAACCTGACCCGAAATCCAGCAACCCCACTGTATCACAATCCATAGAGCATTAGTGGAGCATAAGAAAGCAACGTTTGACTGTGAGGCGCTGCCTGCAAAAAAAAAATTGATAAATAAAAGTGAAGGAATTCTCAAAGAGATCCGTTGTAATTACCACAAAAGTTTGATATTTGAATGGCTAGCTTTTTGGCTGTTATGTACAGCTGAAAGTATGTAAACTCGCCATTCAAGTCCTTAATTGCAATCTCATCCGGAAAGAGCATCGCCTTCTTGAACGTCGGCACCACAAAATTATTCCGTTCATCTTCAATAAAGCTGTTCCGCAGCTTCTCTATGAAAGTGTCCTAGTTCAAAAGTGTTCGATATATTAACTATATAGTCCATATATGTATAGCAATTGGATTGCACTTACTTTGTGTACTAGCTCGGCCGAACAGAAGCGCGCCAATGGCCGCCATTGAAATCTTTGCAAGCGTCTCAACGACAACATTTTCCAGAAATTTCCCAATTATTTTCTCTTATCTCGATGCTCAGTCAAATGATTTGTCGAACTTCAATGCAACAAAAACAATAAAACTAACCTCAATCCGTTTTCAGTTCATTCACATTGCATTGCCTACTTTGTTTACAAAGCATGCTTCGAAATGTGTTGTACAATTCTAGGTTTTCCTGATATACCCGAATTCACGAATTAAAAGAGTATATTGGCTTTGCGCATAAGCCATAAGCCTTGCTGTTCGTCCATCAATCCATTTGTGGCTCGGCATATAAATCAAAGATTTCAGCTCGTATTTATATTAGTTTTATATAATTTTTATTTTAATTTTTCGTTTGCTTTATTTACACATTTAATAGGGACAATAAAAAAATGTTTTATATATGTTTACATATATATATATACATATATAAACATAAAAATAAAAAAAAATAATATACTGTTGTAAATATATATAAAAATAATCAAAGTATATTAGAAAAATCGCCACAATTTTGGTATATGCACAAATCGAAATACCAAATGTCGTTTACAACGACACCCAACAAAGGCGCCACAGATGAAATCGCCCACTTCAACACGATATATAACTATACATATGTGTATATAGATACATTGACATACGTATTTAGTTTATATATCTATATATTCATACAAGTATACATGTTGCTGCTGCTGATGAGAGAGTTTGCTCAATAATTATCTCTAATTACAACAGAATTTTTGTATGCTATAGTTCACATTGTAGTCTCGTATATATAACATCATTACGATCTCAATTACGATCTCAAACCAGTAGAAACACTTTTAACAAATGCAATTGATAATACATTTTGGGATTAAGAAATTTGATTTAGGACCATTCGGTCTATTATCCTCAAGATTTCCCAATGCTCGAAGTTAAAGATATTCGGAAGCCCAGAAAGAAGACATCTTTAAAAATGGACCATTTAGTAACGCAATTATGTTATGGCAAATTTCTAGACTTTAGTCTATCTTAAATAAATTAGACTTTTCACAAAAAAAAAACAGATATTGTTTACATTTAGTATATATGTTAGTAATTCTAGGACAAAAGAATATGAGAATATGTTTACTGATAAGGCTCAAAAATGCTATATATAAATGAGTCTTTTAACAGTGAAATAGTGGTATTGCACGGCGGATCAAGTTAAACAGAAGTCAGCTTAAAAACTAGATTTGTGAGATTTGATATCAGTCTAAAAAATATATTTCCGACTGCAAAACATTTGTGACAAACAGCAAAATACATAATCAGTTAATGTAGTCTATAGTATAGAAATCGTAGTTTAGATATAATACATTCAGTTGTAATAAATTGAGCTGAATTAGCTTAAACGTGTTTTCGAGGAACACCCCTAATGTTTACTACTGTTCTTAGAGCACGTTCTACAACTCTTTTATTTTGAGCGTTATAATATTGTATGGAATTTGCTGTTGGGCTATAAATGCAACGAGAACTCTGGAGATCCACTGGTTGTATGAAAATGATTGCCTAATAGTGTGCACTGCTTTCGCATGCTCGCTCTCTCTCTCTCTCTGTCTCTCTCTATCTGTCTCTTTCTTTTTCATTAGTATTTTGTTCGTTTCTATTCGAATTATGTGTTTTCTATATGAGAACTACGACTTCAAAGTTGTGCGCTACACTTTTCTCTCTCTATATATTTCTCTGTCTCTGTCTAACTGCCTATGTCTGTATGTATCTGTCTGTGTTCTCTCTCTCTCTCGCTCGCACGCGCCTTCACACGCGCTTGGGCTTGCTGACGATCGTGTAGTTGAGGCCGTTGTAATTGCGATGATCGAGGGCGGCATCGGTGTTTATGTTCGTTATGGGCGTGGCACAGAGGCCCGATACATTGCTGCTACTACTGCTGTTGTTGTTGTTGTTATTGCTATTGATGTTTGTGGCGGGCAGTGTTGTGGTGTTATTATTATTATTGACATTATTATTATTATTATTGTTGTTGTTATTGTTATTATTATTGTTATTATTATTATTATTATTATTGTTGCTGATGGCAGTATTGTTGGTGGCTTTTCGCAGGACTCCATAGCCCAGATGACTATCGTCGGCCTTGCGAAAACTTTCCGTATCGGGACTAGCAATCAGTTCATATTCATTCGGTGGCGGCGGACTGCAGCGTATACGATTCGCAGGGAGTGTTACATTCACAATGGTCTTGTAGCCGCTGGAGGTTTTATTGTTCGGCGATAGAAAGTCCAAGCGGTCATAGTTGGCATCCGGCGATACCAGCACGCCCACACCCTCGCCAATATCAATGTCTATTATTTTGGGTGTGCTGTTGCCGCTTGTCGCGCTGCTGGCGTTCAGATCCTTGCGTTTGTCGCGCTGCGATTGCGAACGCTGGCGTACAAAATCGCTGTCACAGCTGAGGGCTGAGGGTACGCGCTCACAATGGCGTACATCGCCGACGCCACGCGTCTTCCATGCATCGGTTATGTTTTCAATGGACTCGTAGTCACGCTCGAGAGTTAGCTTGTTGCAGCAGCTCTCGTTTCTCAGCGGCAAATCGGGCGGACTACCGCCGCCACCGCCACCGCCGGCACGTAACGGATCTGGGGAGGCAGGCTTCAGTATCACAGCCGAGCCGCTGTTCTTGCTATTGGCATCCGATGGCGACGATGTGGTTATGGCAACCGGTTCATATTTCAGTAGATTCTTATATTTATCACATTGAGTTATTGTGCCAGTCTGTGCAGTAGCTGCAGTTGGCAGTGAAGCAGGAGCAACAGCAGCCGCCGGGCCCATATTGAGCTTCTCAAGCGGTGTGGGCAGCTTGCGCGGTGGCTTGTTGGGAATGTGTTTGCCGGCGGCCTGCGAGGACACGGACAGGCTGATGCTGTTGGCGCTGCCATTCGCCGAGAAGTTATTCAGCGAATCATTGGAGCTGATGAAGCCGCGCAGTGAGATGCAGCTTTGAGTTGAGTTAATCTCAAATTCGCCGGCATGAGGATTGCTCGAAGGTGACGGTGGCAGCGGACTACGCGAACCGGGCTCCATGCAGGCGGCGGCACTAAACTGATTTTCGACGCACTCGATGCTGCTGAGACTGTCGCCGCTAATCAGCTTCTTCATCGACTTCATTTTGGCGGACATGCAGCGAAAGACCTCCTGAGGATTGGTATGATCCAGCGTAAAGACTCCCTCGCCCGTCGTACACTTGCGTCCCGCCTCAAACTGGAACTTACCATCCCTATACCCATACTTGCGAATGAATCGATACGGCCACATGGCAATTGTCACATTCAGATCCTCCGATTTCAGCTGCAGCTCCGTCGGTGTCATCTGCAGCATATAAGTGCGCGGCTCGATGTTGCACCGAATGGACGCCTCAGACGGTATCAGAGTTATAATAAACAATCCGTCCTGTTGATTATATGAAAAAACAAAATATATATATATATATATACGTATTCATGACGACTATTATGGGTAATCTATTCTGTGTTTGCCAGCTGTGTTTTCTTTAAGAAATCAAGAGCTTTAAAAGAAGAAACCTGAAGAAAGAGGGCACCACAGTTGGTTCGTGTTTGTTTTTCTTAGCGATAAGCGATTTAGTTTTTTTCCATTTTGCTTATGCATCTGTTTATGAAACTTTTGGAACTCAAAACAGTTGTGTTATTTTTTCTTATCGTGTTTCCTAACAAAACACTATGAATCGCTTTTCTGTTTTCTCGTTTTTTTTCCTTGCCATTTTCGCAAATGTTGTAAATAGTTTATATATATATATCATAATAGTATCTCTTTGATTTTTCAAGGGTTCTCAATTCCCGTCTATATTACATCTATAAAAAGAGTATTTTCTATATAACTCAATGACTATCTACCTAGCTGCTCTTTACAGTTCTTCTTATGATTTCCTATGACATTATGAATAATTCATGTATTATAAAATTATCTCTTTGAATCTTCTATTTATCTCAATATGTACCTAGCTGTCTTATCTGCTGCTTTTTGTATAACTTATTTACTCTCCGAGTGGCTTCGAGTTTCTATTTAGTTTCGACTTTGTCTGACATTTGAAAATGATTTTATGCCCTTTTTGCAATTTTGACTGATTGCTTTTCAATACTATTCCCAATATCCTTAATCTTTATTTCTCCTCTCCGTTTCCTGGCTTGGTCGAGTGTGCAATTCTGATTTGAGTCAAGTTCGCAAACGTTATACTTCCTGCAGAACCTGAAATGCGTGATTTATTAGTCTTGGCTTCTCCAATTTGTATATGTAATATATATATTTGCCCTCAAATTAGCCTTAGCTAGCTGTGCATAAAACGTCAACCGTCGTATCGCTTTTCGAAAACAAACTCGTTGACATAATGGCTGAAAAGGTTGATAAATTTACAGCGGGCCTGATTGTTATGTATATAAATACCATATAACATTCTATACAAAAGAAGTTTAGTGCTTAGTGAATATTTGTTTTGGAAAATTCGAAATTCGACGTATGTAGAATGGATCCGCCATGTACACAGCTAGTCAAACGTGAATTGAAGGATCCGGATCTTAAGACACCGGATGATTTCTGGACACCACTACGAGCAATCAAAGAGGAATGGGAAGGTGAAATCGATATGAATCTAAAGCAAGATGAGCATCACGAAAGAATTACCAAGTTCATAAAACACCAAACGATGCTGAGCGAAGTGGAGAGCGACACCGAAGATGAAGGGGAGAAAAGTGTAGAAAACGAACAAAATAAAGAGCTGTATTTACAAGAAGAGGAACAGAAACTACGACAACAGTTAATCGAGGATGGCATCAAAGAGCAATCACGACAACGCCAACAGAAATGGGAAAATGATCTCAGCAACGAGCTCTACTTGCTTAACGATCTAAAGCGCGAACACGTATACGATCATAAGCTAAAGAATCCCATACCAATTGCAGAATGCTATACTGGTGCACATACTTGTGACGAAACGGTGGCAACCCTATCCGATCTGAAGAAGCTGGTGGCCAATAGGGTGCCCAAAGTGCCATTGGATGAGTTGCTGATCGAGCCGCTACTCAACTGGGATATCGATATGCTGCCCAAGAAACCAAATCTAGTTGAAGAGCTGTGCCGTCTATTTCGCCAGAATATTGGACCTACGTTGGCCGTTGTTATCGATGGCAAACAGTTTTATTGCCATTCCATGCTGTTAGGAATGATGTCTGAATTCTTCAACAATCGCAATTTCTCGCATGTGCTTTATTTACCTGGCACGAAGATACCGTCTCGCACCTTTGTCAACATATATCGATGGATGCTAGAGCCAATTAATTCGTTAACGCTCACCCAGCTCATTGAGCTTCTGCGCGCCTCACAGTTTCTGGCCATCGAGGAGCTGACCAAACAATGCTGGCGGCTCACTCACGATGTGCTGAAGACAACTGATCGCATCTTGACCATGTATACCGTGGCGCAGCGTGTGTGCGTTAACATTGAGAAGATCATAACCCCGTACGTGGGACGCATTTGGTTGCCGTTTGCATCCAGCCAGGAATTTATTAATCTGGAATTCAGCAAAATTCGACGAATGCTGCAATTGGACACTCTGTCAGTGAACTCGGAAATGGAAGTGGGTATACTACATTCATAGAATTTAAGAACCTACCATAATCATCATAATCATAATCGGCAGGTTCTATACTCGGCCATACTCTGGCTGGAGTGCGGTTGGCCACTCCGTAAACGCTATGCTATCGATCTAATGCGTGTTATACGCTTTGAACTTATGCCCTTTGTATTTCTGATAATTTTCGACAGGCGCAAGGATGGACCACCAGCACTAAACTATATCCGCCATTCAGTGGTAGTGCACAAGCTAATATACAATGGACTCTCAGAGCAGTGAGTATGCTACAGATTCGTTATAGGCTATCAAGTGTGATTGGGACCTGTCTCTCTCTCTCTCCGTCCCCGAATCCATATTAGACACTCCGACGCGAACCGTTATAAAGGTAACTCTGGCCGCTACCCTCGCGAATGGATCTACGATCCATGTTGCCCCTATCACCATGGCCACAAATGCAACTCCGCTCGCTTTGTTAGCTACAACGAATTCATCAATTATGTTAAATGCCTACAAAAAGCCGGCTATCTGCGCGGGAATCGTATGAAATTATACACTGATGATGACATTGTCTGCTGTTAAATCGAAAGACTCGAAAATCGTATAGAGTAAACGAATTTTAACGATAAATCTCCTGCATTTCTTTTATCCAATCAACAGCTTTCTAAACAATCGTATTGATTAAATATATACAATACATAAATACACTGACTGTACATAGATATTTCTGTGTGCTAGTCACTCGACGAATACTTTTCTGTATAAACAATATCGTATTACATCTATTTCTAATTGTTTTAATGAAACTTTTCTAGCTTGCCTCACATATTATGTGTTTTACCTCAACAAATCTATCAACTCTTCTGAAGTCTATACAAAAATCTGCTACATTACAAATTTAAACTGCGCTTAAAGCTTCTTTCCTTCAGTTTAGTCACTTACAAATGAACTGCAATATAGATCATTATCCTCTTCGATGGCACCGTGGGCGGCATGAAGGCCACTGTTGTCGCAAAAGGCAACCGTTTGGAGGGCTGTGACCCAATCCTTAAGCTCCTCATCGCTGTTCGTATTCAGTGTAAGCTGCACATTGCGCTTGACAATCTGTATGAGATTCGCTGGCGGTGGTTCCTGTGTGATCTTTACGCAATTCTCAAGTGTAAAGATCTTTGGATTCTTGTCATCCTTATTCTCGCATATCTCCAGGCGTGCAATGCCATGGCGACTGGCTTTGAATAGGAGACAATAGCGGCTGCATGATTTCTGAAAAAGAAATATAAGAAATACATATTTGAATGTTTTCTAACATTTTTTGAATACTCTTTAATCTGAATAGATAATACAAAGGCAAATATATTTATTAATAGAGTTATATATATCTTTGGCTTATATTTGGTTAACTCTTCGAGTACATCTCGAAGATTTTGATGTTTATTAATTTGGTGTTAACCTCGCACTAACCATTGTAAGATCGAGTTTTAATGTTGTGCTAATCAAATTTCCAACGAAAATTCGAGCGTTACTTACATAACGAAGCAACAACAGCAAACACAAGTATTTGTAGCTGGGCACGGCCCCAATCCTCAGAGCTCAGAGAGACATGAAATCGCTTAAGCACACTTAAGAATTCCCTGACATATGGAAATAAGTGTATATATATTATATATATATATATATATGTAATATATATATCCATATACATGGATGAATCCCAAAAAAAAAAACAGCCGTCATCGCAAGCATATACATATACGTATACATATGCATATAAGCAGACAATTTAGATGTGTGTCTCAGGCGCGCACACGCAAATCGAAAATATGTTCGGCTCGCCGTTTGGCATGCTTCTCTCTTTCTCCCACCTTATGCTACTCATTTGTATGCAACAAGTATGCAGATGGAGATATCTACACTTATACATGTGCACACACACACACACAAAGGCACGCATGTGTGTGCGCATATGCATACACAAACTCACTCACACATACACACACACATGCTCATGGCGAGGGTCCTGTTGTAATACGCAATTGCCAAATATATTAAAATTGCATTTAGAATATTTTAGGGCATTGCACATTTGTGCAGTTAATGTGTTAGTTGGTAGATATGCAAGTTCTTTGACAGGCTCTTACCTTTTTCGAGATACGATTTAGCGAAAATCCAGTTTGTGTTGGAACATTAAGATATCCAGCCAAAACAGGTATTTCAACATCCATTCTGTTGAGGCCCGTTGCCGATGCTTCTCGTTTGCGTATTCAATTGGCCAATAACAAAAGGCAATTTTTACAGTTTTCATATATGTTCAATGATTTGTGTTGCTTGGCGAATTGCAATTTGAGATTCACACTTCATATTTACATTTAACCGCAACAAAAATAAACGCAGCCGCAGGCCCACAATTCGAGTAACTTTATTTATTTATGCGCTTCCAGAGCTGCATTCTATATGCTGCAATCGAAATCGAGTTATCACACAATATGGTAATGGAGGCTTTATCGAATGCGCTGATCGCCCACGATCATGTTTTCCTACATACATCGATAACAATTTAAATTGATTTACGTGACATGCTTATGAATTGTGATAGCTCAATAATTGAGTCTTCATTCTAGTATGTATGTATCTGTTTTTTCCTCAGTACAATCAATAGTATTGAGTGCTTAATACAATGTAAAAGAATTTTAAGTTAAATATTGCGCCGTCTTCATGTAGAAACCACACATGGGGCGATAGTTATTAATATGACCAATACAATATATTAGCCTTGTGACCAAACTTGTACGGAAAATATATCGATAAAATTAGGAAATTGGCACTGCCAACCTGTTACATATTTCACTGTGAATGGCAAAATTAATAACATACGGAACCTGTAAAAGCTGAATTTTGTGCAAAAAATAAATAAATAAAACATGGCACACGATCGGGAGGTGCTGCGTATGATATGGGAAGGTCAAATTGGAATTTGCTTTCAAGCCGACAACGAAGAAATTGTCGGCATCAGGCCAGAACCGTTTTATTTGATGGTGTCACGTCTCAGCTATTTGCCCCTGGTCACAGACAAGGTAAATTAAACAAAACAAAAGGAAAAACAAAGACAAACTTATTTATTTATATATAAGCACCAATTGTCCTCATGTTTCTTAACAGGTGCGAAAGTATTTTACCCGCTATATTGCTGCCGAGCATCAGGATGGCGCCGCTTGGTTCGATTTCAATGGAACGCCGCTCCGTCTGCATTATCCAATAGGTACTTATAAAAGGCGGCATTATGGGCGTAGCAAATCGAATTGTAAATTTAAATATTTTGCTATGCATAGGAGTGCTGTACGATTTGCTGCATCCAGAGGAGGACGGCACACCCTGGTGCATTACCATACACTTTTCCAAGTTTCCAGAGGAGACGCTCGTCAAATTGAACACAAAGTATACATGAGATATAATATATATATATAACTAATTTCTGTAAGATTGGCAACTAATGAGCTTTATTGACATTTGCAGAGAACTGCTGGAATCGCATTACTTGGCCTGCCTAAAGGAGGCCGACGTGCTAAAGCATAGAGGCTTGGTAATCTCAGCCATGCAAAAGAAGGATCACAATCAGCTCTGGCTAGGCCTGATAAATGATAAATTCGATCAGTTCTGGGCGGTCAATAGACGCTTAATGGAGCCCTATAGTGACCAGGAGTCATTTAAGAACATTCCAGTGCGTTTCTATCACGACGATGTAAGTGCTCAAAATCAATAGACTTCAGTGAAGTTTGGGGTGTTTGCCTTTAGTCAATGACTAAACTAAGAGTACTTGTAGAAGCCAAAGAAGTAGTAATAGTAGAAGTAAGAAGAATTAGTAGTATTTAGTAGTAGCAACCGCTATAAGAAGCACTTTTGAAAGTTCCACATCATGAGAAGAGTCAAGAGTCAAAGAGTTGGTTTATGATGCTATTTCATAAATATGTGAAAACGAAACGATATTTATAAAATAACGGAATGCTTAATATGAACATATGTATATGATTAATGGCGTATTGGAAATGGCTCTTGCCTTTCTGACTGTTGCATAGAACGATCTATGCCCCTGCTTATACCCATTCACAAATTGTTAGAAGTATATTGGCTCTGCGCAATGTCCGCCCTACTCTGCATACACCAATCTATTTTAAAGTAAAGTAATTTTATAATATTCGATTAACAATTCTATATGCAACGGAAGTGTAACTAAATAGAGTGAAGACAATCGTGTTGCCTATTGAAGCTAGAGACTAATATATATACATGTATATATATATATTATATATATATATATATAATATACATATAGAGGTATGTCTGCCATAATTGAAAAACCTTCATAGTCTTTTCTAAGTGAATCAGTGTTGACGCTCTTATATTTTTACTGAAAGAAAATATGCCAAAAACATGAAAAGTATCTATTATAGAAATAGTCAATCTCTTTGGTGCACAAATATTATATAGTTTGTAGCGATTGCAAAAAGTTTCTTAGGTGTTGCCTCTGTTCAATTGGTGCGTGCTAAGAATTGTATAAGATCGTCTTATTGTCAACATATGTCTTATTGACAATTTTTTAGGATGTAGTGCACGCTTGTTGGTATTATTTACAGATCGTTCTTATTGCACTGCCAGGTGGCAACGCTGTCTTAACAACATAACCTCACTCAATAAAATATTGAGCAAATCACTTTTAGATATATGAAATATAATCCTTTATTGGAATTATTTAATAATAATAAAATAAGTTGATTTAGGCCGAATTTTATGTCTAGCCGCTGAATAAGACTAATTGATTTTATGAGAGTCATAAAAGTTGTTTGACAAAGATATTTTGGGAGAGACGTGTTAATTATTATATGATATTCGCGCCTTATACGTAGATTATGGCATATCTAAATTGATGTCGCCTCAGCGTTATCTAGCACGTGCAGCATATTTAAACAGAAGATATAGAGATAATGCTCTCATCTCTCATCTGTCTATCTCCAAATAGGATTTTACGTACATACAAAAATTAATATCGCCGCTGAATGAAACTGGACAAAAGAAAAATCTGGCCGACCTGATGGCCGAATTATCGACACCTGTGCGCAAAGCAGGTGAGTGCACATAATAGTATATCTAACAACAATATATATATATATATATATATATATATATAGATATAGTGTATATTGGGGTATTTGTTACACGCACGCAGCTATCAATTAGCCGCAGCCACTCAAAACCATTTGCTTGCATTCTTATAGCAGCATCCTTAACAGCCAAGTCTTTGTCTCTCTCCCTCTCTCTTTCCGTCTCCCTCTTTATCGTCGCATTCATTAGAAAAGCGGCCAAAAAAAGGTGCCAGTCAGTCTGGCCGAAACTTCGTTTTGTCGGCTCTCGCTGACTTATTTATTTTTCTATTGAAGCGCACACAAAACGAGGCAAAGCCGCTGGCAGCGTTGTTGCCGACGTCGCCGTCGACGGCGTCGTTGACGTTACTGCCAATCATTCCTCAATTCATCAATGTCGCCCAACAACAACAACAACAAAAGAACTAAAAATTATTGAACAATAGCCCCAGGCAGTCCACGGGACTCAAAGCCGAGAGCCGGGCAGGTTGCCTGTTGGATTTTTGTGTTGTTTTCTTCTTCTTCATTTTTCGTTTTGTTCTCTTCTCTTTTGGCCAAGTGTTTTTCGAACCATTCAGCTGCCTAGACAAAACGTATGCAAGTGTGTGTGTGTTCAACAATAGAGTGCGTGTGGATTTTTCGTGGCAAGCGAACGTTGCAAGAGTCGCTGCTGGATTCCAACTGACCTGCGGCGCCGGCGACAGAGGACGCAAGTGCGAGCGAGTCAGCGCATAGTTGACTGAGTCTGCGTGCATGTATATGTCCGTATCTGTGTGTGTGAGTGTGCCGTGTCGCAGTGGCTTAGGTGCAATAATAGCATTGGGAATTCCATAGCCAGACAAAAGGCGGAACTAAATACCTGCGGCTGGGATTTACGAATTACCACGTGAACAACTACACTAGCTGTGTGCATGCCTGTGTGTGTGTGTAGGTGTGTGTGGAACAACTAATGCTAGAGCTAGTGCGCAGACCTCTTTCATTGAGAAGCATCTAACACTCGACTATACCAAGTGCGCTCTCTGCTCTCTCTCTCTCTCCCTCCCTCTCTTTATCCTTGCAGCCCGGGACTCCTTGTGGCATCTGTTTTCGCTTAGAGCGAACAGCAGGTTGGCCCTGCGCCTTCAGCGGGTATTTCCCCGGACTACAAGGTGTGAAATTTTTATTTGCATGCTTCGCCCCGCACATACTTTTCCCTGTTAGCAACATTTCATTTTCTTTTATTTTCGTTCTTTTCTTTGGTTCTTCGATTTCTGCTCGCTTTGGTCCTGGTCTTGGTAATTCCCATTTGAAAGGTGAGAGATTTGTTGGTGAACAAACACCGATCCTTTTCCTTCCAATGGATGCCCACAATTTTCTGGCTGTAACACGTATTTTCCCAAAGGTCATCCAATGTGACAGTTGCAATACATTTCCCTTGTCCTTGATGCACATACACACACAGACTCACCTACCTACACACACGGCTCTTAAGTCTGGCTTAAGTGGGCCAATGGATCAGTCCCGTTGCGTGCTCTTAGACACAAGTTAATTCCCGATTAGGTCAATTGAGCGCCCCCAGCAAAGTGAAAAACTAAGAAAATCTTCCATTGATATGCTCTCTATAATTGAGCAATTACTTAGCTAAATTGATTGGGTTTTTCTACTAGTGTTGTCGTTGCTGATTATTATTATTATTATTTATATTATTATTATTATTATTATTATTATTATTATTTTTATTTTTATTATTATTATTATTATTATTATTATTATTATTTTTATTATTATTATTATTTTTATTATTATTATTATTTTTATTTATATTATTTTTATTTTTTTTTTATTATTATTATTTTTATTATTATTATTATTGTTATTATTATTTTTTATTATTATTTTTAATAGTTTTGTTATTTTTATTATTATTATTATTACTATTTTTGCATTAGTCTTATCATTATCACTAATAATATTAGTATTCTCATCGTCTATATTATTGTTAACATTATCATTAGTTAATTCCCTTTATATCTTTACTATATCATTATAGTTATCAATGCCATTATTATGATTATTATCAATATTGTTTTCATTGCCAATTTTATTGTCGGATCAAGATCATTATCATTATGATTACCAATTTCAACGTAATCGTAATCATAATTATCGTCAATTTCATTGCCACATTATGATCAATATGATCTTTATAATTATAAGCATTGTAATTACCATTTTCATAATCATTATAATCAGGGATATGAACCGCATTATCATAATTATTAGAGACTATAGGAGCTCTAAGCATAATTTTTCATTGTAATCCTCATAGAAGTTGTATATGGCATACATATTCATTCCATCAAATTTGATGTGTTCGTTTTTCTATATCAGACTGAACATATGTCTGAATCGATCTATGAGCTCAGGCCTAAGTTCAATATAAACATATCTAGAATTAAATATAAAATTTTTCCGAGGTTCATATAAAGAGCTAAATTAGAACTTTGTTTTTATATCGAAAACTCTTTCGATCTCTCTGAAGTATAATGCTATTATTTTCGTTATTGTTAACGATAAACCTAGCTAGATCTTTCACAGAAAAAAGTCTTGTAATTTATGAAAAACCATTTTACATCAATAGAAATCAATTTCCAATCAAGAAACATTTTTTTTTCCAATATATGCAAAAGTTCAGCGAATCGAAGATGAACATAGAACGCCCCCAAGTGGTGGAAGTACGTATTTTCCGAACCGAACCGAAAACTCATTCAATGGATATGTTTATGAACATCCACCCCCTCCTCCACTCCCACACCCATGCACATAACATGAGTTGTTTATAGTGAGGCTTACTGCGTCTAACATTGCCTGTAATGATGATCCGTTTAGTGAGCCAAACCGCTCTGGCCCCTTTCAGTTGCTGCACCACCCGCCCCCTTTCCAGTCTCTTGCCAATTGCAGTTTTGTGTAAAAGAAGAAAGAAACGTTTTGCCGCCACCGCCGCTGCTGCCGTTTGCATCCGCATCCGCCATCGAAACACCCACAAATCACATTCAAAACGTGGTCAACTGCTGGCGGATGGGCGGGGGAATTGGGGGGCAATTGCACGCACGTACATCTAATGCGTCTGTGTGTGTGTGTGTGCGTGTGCGTGTGTAATGCGTGCATTTTCATAGAAAATTTGTATTTAAATTGAAATGAATTTCAAATATACAATGCAGTCGTCGTGGCGGTTCAAAGTAGATGCCATTCCGAGAAATCAAAAAAAAACCAAGCAACAACAACAACAACAGAAGCGGCGGCAGCAACAACGACAACAGCTAAAGGCGGCCCGAGAATCTAAGACGCGTCAAAAATAAAGAAAACGCATTTCTGTGCGACTGCGACTGCGCTGCAGCGTCGCTGTCTACTTTTTTTAGTGTTTTTTTTTTGCTTCGCTTTTATTTTTTATTTTGTGCAGTGCGCGCAGCATGGGGAGCGGTTGGCGGGAGCCCATAGCACAGGCGCTTTCATGATTTGCCGCCGGCTGTGAGTGGCGGATCTGGCGTTCACCGGAAAGCATCGTCAGCTTCAGCTACAACTACAACTACAACTACAGCGTCGGCGTTGGCGTTGGCGTTGGCGGCGGCGTTTTGGCTTTTTGAATGCTCACACATACGCACACACACATACTAACCAATGGCTCTCTCGCTCACACATAACACACACTCACTCTCTCTCGCTCTCGCTCTCTTTTTTCTTGTGTCTGAATGCTCTCCCAATTTGTGTGCGTACGTGCGTGTTAGCTTGCGCTGGTATTGGTATTGTTTGCACTGGTGTTTGCTAAGGCTGCTCTCGAATGTGTGAAAAGGAAGTTCTGAGATATCACCTCCGCTTATTTGTATTTACACCTCCACCTCCGCGGGCAACTTCAACTCCACCTTGCCCGTCGGAAATCGCACCTCGCGCTAACAGCCCAGCGCTTGTATATTTATCACGTTGCCCCGTCGCTCCGTCGCAGCCGCTGCCGTTGCTGCTGCTGCATCATATCTTTTATGGTCAGCAGTTTCGGCGGCGGTGGCGGCTGCTTCTGCTGTTGTTGTCTCTCTTTGCCATTGTTATTGCTGTTGCTGCTGCTGCTGCTGCTACGGCTGCTTGTTGCTGTGTTGCATTTGCCACCTTTGCATTTGCTTAGTTCCATTTCGACACATTTTCGTTTGCATTTCGTCAATCAGACAAACAATGCACAATGCAATCAGGACGACCCTCACCCTCGCCCTCACTTGTTCGCATTGTATGTGTGTGCAAATATGTGTGCGCGTGTGTGTGCCTGTTTGCTTGACAATTGTTTGCGCCACGCCCTGGCATTTTGGGTGGGCTGCTTGGTCCGTAGAGCGGCAGCTGCAAACAAAAAAAAAACGAAAATGCAAGCAACAAGTTGGTCCTTTGAATTCATTTTGTCTCCCGAATTTTGAACGAAATCGGCTTAAAATTTAACGTCGTTTCCACTGGAACAACACGCACGCACTCACACACACACGTACACACACACACGTACACACACACACACACACGCTAACTGACTGGAAAGCTCATCACATTAAGCTCGCTCGCGTTCGCTTGTCTTTAAGCTGAGCTTTCGGCTTTTGTCTTCGGCTTTCTTCGGCTTTTCTCTTAGCCTCTGGCCGTTCTCTTCGTTTATTTGCTGCGTTCGCTGTTTTATCAGCTTTTAACTGTTTACATTAGCGCCTTACAGCGAACCGTACTCACATCCGAATTATGTTCTCAATCAATTTGATCCCATCGCATGTTTGCCTTCGTCTGTGTCTGTGTCTCTGTATACACAGCACAGCAGACCGCAGCACATATCCAGCCAGCAGTCGTCCCATCTCTATCCCTCTCGCACCTCCATTTCCTGTGCTACGTTTTGTTTATGTGCTTTTTGGCGCGATCTGCCGAAAAAAATGCTCAGTCAACAGCTTTTATACGCTTTTATTCGAAAGGGTATCTGCGTAATGGAATTTGATGGAATGCCTTAAAATACCACAAACCAAACGAGCTAAGAGTGCAGACGTCGCTCTATATTATGTGGTTCGTATGGGGAACATCGGTTAAGGATCATATATATTTATTATAGCTTAGATATTGCTTCTAAAAATAGTTAGGGTATTCGCCCGTTGTACATACCTTAGCTTATTACATTTCCTGCCGCTTCAATTGAAATCCAATTTTAATTTTGTCTTTCGAGTTTAGTTGACAACTTTGTTTTCCAATCCAAACAAACTAACTGCAAAACGTTTGAGTAGAACTTCAGCAACAGCGACAGCAACAACAACTTACAACAACAAACCGTTACAATAACAAATAACAATTGAAAACCCAAAACCCCAAAAGACAATTGATTTCGCAGTTTAATCGCGTCATGAACTGCGAAATGAAAATATGCAATCGATATGAATGTATCTTGCCATCGACAGACGACGCCGATGACGACCGGAACTGGCGATCGCCGTCACTGCGGCGACAATGAATCGCTAAACAAAGATACTTTATCTATAAAACTACCGAAACATTAATCAATGCCAAGCAATGCAGAAAATTCTAGTCCAATCACGGAATTCTATATTTAACAGCAGACTTGACGGAGTTACCAGACAAAACTTTGAACTTTGACATGACATCTTCAAGGTAGATATACCAAATAGTGTAAAGATAGAATTCATGAAATGTTTCAGTACAAATAGAACGATGTAAATTTAATAATGATAAATCTAATACTCAAAGAAGTTAAAAGTTAATCTGATAATAAGATATGCATATGGAAGAAATATATATCATATCTATAGAAATTAGCTATATGCTTGATCCATTCACTTAGACCAAAAGGCATCAACTTAATAAACTTAAAATTGAAATTATATATATATATATTAAATTATATATAAAGTATAGATCATAGATCAAGGAAAGAAAGAGAGTCCGAGAGAGTATTGCCTGGCTATATATTGTTGGTTTTTATTCGTTTATAGAGCACAATCTATGAAATTATTATGATTGGCTTTCTTATCAGATACGTTGAACATTCGCGCTGCAATGTTTTATTTTTAGGCATGAGCTATGCGCCTCCAAGACTCCAGCACGCCCCAAAGTCAACTGAATCGAACAACAACAACAACAACAGCAGCAGCGAGTAATGGCTGTCGTTTCGTCAATTGTGACTCAGTTGTTGTTGTTGTTGTTGCTTTCGATAATAAGACTGTTTGGCGCCATTCTTTGCATTGGCCTCGTGTGCCATTCAATGTGCTCAATGGTTTCTCATGTTCATTATTATTATTGTTTATTGAGGTATTAGTATTAGTCGTAAATTTAATTAGTATTATTAATCGATCTAGTATTAGAATTAGCTGCATTAGCTTAGTTATTAATATTATAATAAGCATGGATATCGCCTTTGGCAGAAGCATTCATTAGCATTAAAATTAGTGTTAGCATTAGCACCAACACTACCATTGGCAGAGGCATTGGCATTAGTACTTGCATTAGCATTAACATTAGCATTAGTAGCAGTGTTCGAAACAGCATTAGCTCTAGCCTTAGCGTTAACATTAATATCAAAGTACATCATAAGTATAAGCCATAGCATTTGTATTAGCAGTATCATAGAAAACATCATTAGCATTAGAATTATCATTAGCTGGTTTTATCGTTGACAACATCTTTATAATTAGTATTGATAATTAGCATTAGCATTAATATTGGTGTTCACATTATGATATCAGCATTAGCATTAGCATTTCTATGTCAAATACATCATTGACATTAGTATTCCCATAGCTTTAACATTCGCATTAGTATTAACATTATTATCATAAGCTAAAGCATTAGCATTATTTTTAATATTCTCAACGCCAACGTATATAGCACTAGTATTGCCTATTGGCCTAATGCCATTAGTAAAAGAGTTTCACAAATATAATTCATCCGAAAAGGAGCTTTCAGTTATAGCTGCATATAGATTACCCCGCCATATCAGCTGAATATATATCACGGCAAGCTCCTGGCTCGATCTTTGGACAACTTCACTTGACAGACTTTCAACAATGCAATGCGTATTGTACTTATTTGCGTAGTGTCTAATGCGCTGTATTCTACACATATATCATCATCATTCATGGATCACAGGCATTTCCTCTCGCAGGGTTGGCGGAGGGCAATTGGCGGGTGGGCGCGTTTTATAAATCGAATCAAATGGAATCGTATCGTACATCGTTGTGCATTTAATACGTATGCGTCCTACTTGAACTCGGGCCCGTTGCACAAATCTTATCTCTGGTCACCCGCTTCCCACTCTATGTAATCAGGCATTATCAGAGCTATACTATACCATATATGTATATTATATATATTATATGTATTGAATGCGATATGGCTTGTTCGTGTGTGTATGTGTGCTACTTATTTGCTTGTGAATATATATTTATATGCGTGTTTGAATACCCTGTAGTCAGGCAGGGGTATACAAGAATTGTGAATACGGTTACTCTCATTCTACTTCCTGAAGATGTGCTTATATAAGATATATTTAATGGTATATCAACGTTCCAGTCTACTTTATATATCAATTTCCCATCGAGTCATATACGTATATATGTGCAGGGCATTCATTTATTATGTTCTTTAAAGGTAATGATCTTGTCCAATTGTTAAGTATATTCAGCAACTAAAGGTGAAATCAAAACTATTTAGGAGCAGATCCGTACACAGAGAGTACAGAGAGCATCCTCGAAACAAATACTATTTAGCGATCGCATAATAATTGATCATTGCCAGGAGATCTAAGCTAGTTGAGAGACAGCTGATCACGGCAGCCCTAATCTAATGCGCATCCTCTTCCTCGTCGATGATACTGAGCGAATTAAAAGCTCTTTCGGCTGATCTTACGATCGTCGAAGTTCCTTTTGTGTTGTGCGCGTGCGTCTACAATTGTGGCGCACTGTACTACAGTAATCTATATTTACAATATGCCTGGCTATAATTATAAATGACGAAAGAGTCAAAACCAATGATCGGGCCACTTGAGCGCGTTGTTGTTGCTTATCGATTAATGGTAACGCCTAACCGAAAGCCTTTGGCCCATGGTCGATAATGGGTGCTGTGATTTATATGGCAATCAGATAGCAGGAAATACTCATATATAGGCCTATATATAGTCGCAGATTATGCGAAGTGGGCGCTAATACTGATTACCGACATCCATAAAGAGGGACTGAGAAAAAAACGTACAAGTGTAGATCGCTAATCGATAAATTATCGATAGCCGTAGTGCTCCGAAAACTCCGAAAGTATAGCAGATATAGTCTAGCAAAGAGTTTTGATACATAGAAGATATAATATTCATATATTGATCGACTCTTAACTAACTTCTCTTCGTTTTATCTCCTTCTTTTCGTAACTTTCAGTTGGCTTTCGGACTCATGGCATCGGCCTGCCGGAGGAGACGCAGCTGCAATGGATGTCTGAGCATATGAGCTATCCTGACAATTTCCTGCATTTATCGGTTGAGTACGAGAACACATAACTCTCAGAGACAGAGCGAGAGAGCATTCAAATGAAATTACAAGTTGGAGGGAGTAAAGAGTGCGCCAATCCAATGCTTTAACCCAGGGCCGATCTGCACACGGACCGATATACACACTTACCAATAACTGTAGCAACTAATTAATTATTAAGTTCAATGTACAATACATTAAATATTTATGTACCATATACTTATGCAATAATATATATAGCTTGATACAGCATTTATACTACATACACATAAAGCGCAATGGATTTGCACTCTGTCAATTCATCGATCATAGCAATTCGTAATATTTATTCGCGCATTATTCCCTTGCCGACAAACGGTTCGTGCCGTTCTATTTATAAGTCCCCCGGGGTTCATTTAGGAACTGTATACAACGTGGCAAAAATCGTGCCATAATTGCTTATCAATTTCAAAAGAAAACTCAACAGAAAATTAAAGAAATACCCTGGAAGCGTACGTTAGCTGTGAGTGCTATATCTGATGGATCTGTCAGCAAGTCGAGTGAAGTCTACGCTACTTAAGAACTACTTTACAATGCTTATTATAATCTTAGCTGAGAGGCTTCAGCTGAAGGTCTTCTAGCTATACATAAAACGAATTGATATTGATAAAAATGATGGAAGCCCAAGACTCAGGCAATTCCTGGGCATATACAGCTCTCTGTTAAAACTTGTCCAAAGTTCAACTAGAAAAAAATTCGATCGATCGTATATCAATCTATATCTCTTTTAGGTATAAAAATATCGATATCGATCGATAACTTTCACAGTCTTGCACGTGGCTTCCAGGGTATACAGAAATCGCATCAAGTCGAGCCACTTCGTACGGCGCGATCGAGTTCATTGATTAGACCAGTCGCAAAATTGTTATCCGCTGTCAAGATAACGGCGACCTTACACAATTTTTCGGCCAGCTCCACATTTTAGCGATATTTTATTCTGTTTCTATTTTCATTAATTATTTGAAGAGCATCGATTTGAAAATGTCAGCTCTCTGGCTGCTAAAAATAGTGAACGCCACTTGAGAATGATTAATACGATGATAATTATATATATATACAAATGAATTATATATGTATACATATGTATACACGATTATTATTCATTTATCTAGGTCGCTGGGTAAAATGGAATAAGTGCCCGGCCCAACCCATTGCGACGAAGAAAGAGAAACAGAAACAGAAACAGAAAAGAAACAGTCGAAAGGAAGCAGCGTCAGTTTTAGAAAATTTATTGCTTGGACTTAGCAAATCGGTTATGACAAACCACTTAATGTTCCGATATGGACATTATCGGCACATTGATGGATCTATGCGGACGGGTTTTGCATGTTTTTGTTTTTAGTAGCTGCACTCAACGCATAGGACGAGAGACGTTCCGTTTGGACATCGATGGAGCATATATTTGTCCATTTGGTCATTGATCGATCCGCTCACTTTGCTCTGTCCAAATAGCTGTGGCCCACCCGCTTGATCAGCGGTCGACACTCTCGAGTGGAACCAATAACTTATACCACAATAAACAATCGATTTATTTGCCAATTGCCATGAGTCCGGTCATGCATCAACCGCGAGCGATCCTCGTCGAGTGCTGATCAGTCTATCCGATAACTACGTGTACCCAGACTAGTGCATATATTGCTGAATAACTGAATCATCAGCCTTTGATATTTTATCTATATTTGCTTGCTGATCACTGATCCTCTTCAATTATATCAACATTTAACTGATCACTGATCACTGATGCTCTCTAGTGATTCGATTCGTCGATTATTTAGTATTATTTTGTAGATCACTTACTCAAAGCAGTGACAATATCTAGAATAACGCAAATAGAACTAATATTTAATATCTAACAGACTTTCTATTTCAATGATCAACTCAATCATCGTCACCTCTCTCAATCGGTGAGCGTCTCGTATCTATCTGCATGAAGGCACACAATTATCTGCTAGGTAAAATCTGAAACTGTAGTATTCAAACAGATTATCTATATCTATTGGACTAATATATTCTTTTCCCTTGGTGATCGAGGAACTCAATCTGCAGAGTGCACCTCAAAATTCCTTTAACTGGCTTTACATAACAACAATTTATGAATTGCTCTTTGGCTTGCTCTTCAGAAGTGTCAATCTGATCCAGATATAACATGATCACAACTTGATAAGCCAATGATAAGTCAAAGCCAAGCAATATATCAGTAGATGACACGTTTCTGTGGCTCGAATTGAGAGAACACAAATTGCACTGGGTTAGTTAAGAACGTCATTGCGTCGTATGTTGAAATATATTTATTATGTATTTCCCTCTCTGCATGAGCTTTATGATGCCCTGTGAAAAGAGTTCAGTGCGGCTTGATTTGCTACAACAATATAAATTGTTATCGTATTTTTTTTTTGTATTTTTCTTTTATTTGGCGATATGGAAAAAGTGTTTTAGTAATGCGTAAACAAATTGGATTGAAGGGGAAAGCTTAGTTGATCTATACAATATATAGAGAACTGAAATGTGTATGGAAGTTCGTATGATATAATACAAATTTCATTCGAAATTGAATTGAGTCACGTTCTTAGAGCGGAGTCTGTTTATTCCTTGATTGAAAGGGTCAATAGCTGGGCTAAGCAGTTTTTATATAAATCGGCTTAAATGCCTGAAAATATCAAGTGTATTCGGTCAAGCATTCACCCAATAATACATCTATTTTATAAAAAAACAAAAAAAAAAAATAAATATTAATAAAAAGCCTGAACATGTACTGACTGCATAATACTCGCTCATTGTTCATTGCGCAATATTCAAAACTTAAGTATTTGCCACGCCCCAATCTGTGGAGTTCTTAGGTTTATCTGTGAAAGATGTTGCAATTTGAAAATGTTCTTGCTTGAAAACTGAGCAAGATTTGCTTTTTTTAAATATATGCCACGCCCCCAATGGGCGTAGATACACAATTTGCAGTGAATGTTAGAAGTAAGCATAGACTTAAAAACGGTGGCAGTTATAGCTATTTTGCCACGCCCCCAAGGGGCGCATGTATAAAGTCTTTGGACAATCACAAAGGCAGCTCCACACTAACTCAGTTGCAAGATCATCTTACCAACTGTTTTTCTCTTGTTTGCCACGCCCCCAATGGGATTAACTATATCAACTATATATGTCAAATATATATTTGCCAAATGTGAGGCTTTCAGTCAGACGAATATGCATAATACATGTAAAGAAGAAGAAGAACATGTAAAGAACGAGCAAAAATTCATTTCGATTTTTTTACCTATGTTAAAATATATGAAAAATATTTCAAATAATTAAAGCTCACATCAACTTGGAATGTTTAATATTTGCTAAACATTAAAAGAATTGTTATAACATTTAATGTAATTCATGACAAATCGCTAAGCGAAAGCATTGGCCGCGCAATGCCGGGCAGCATACAAATGGTATGGCTTATGTACACGATACATTAAATAATATAATATGTAAGCAGTCGAGTGACCTTGCCAGATGCACTCAGGTGTGCAGCGTGCCGCACATCAAGAGGAACGAACCCCTAGCCGAAGCAGACACATAACAGAGCCACCCTAATGGCCACCCTAAAGACGCCCGCCGCGAGCCCCGAGCAGCGTTCGCCACGACTTTCGTTTGTTAACTTGGCAACTTTTGGCTGCAGAAACTGTGTTGCACATGATCAACAGGCGCTGCTGCAGATCAGCTGAGCGCCGGTCTGGTGGTTCGGGTGGCTCGAGTGGTGCGCGGGGCTGCTCGGCGGTGCTATCGCTGTGCGCAAATCGTCTATGTCACGTGGCATTACAAAGAGTCACAAGAATTTCGTTCGCACAGCAACAAGAAATAAATCAAAGAAATTCGCAAAAGCAAAAACAACTGAAAAGAAAAGCTAGAAAAATAGAAAATGAGGCACATGCCCAGGCTTCCTAGGGGTTAGCGAAGGGGCAGCTGGTTGCCGGGCGATGGATATAGTTCTTTTCAATTTGGATGCTACCCAGATTTCAAGCAGTCTGCCAGCCACACACAGGTGTAGTCGCTCCTTCTCCCCCGCCCTCTCCCACTGTGTGTGCTGTCAGCTCAAATATGTCAATTATCAGCCGGAAGATAGTTTAGGGAGAGTCAGATCTTATGCAACAACCAACAAACTTCGTAAAGCTGAATTGCAATTGCTGATCAAACATAATCTTAGCCATCGCGTGTGTATCTCCCAGGCCCTTCAGCGTGTCTTCTGTATCACAATCTGTCCATGGCTTACAGTCCAGGAAATAGTCCAGGATAGTTATGGCCAGCAAATGTTAGGTCTGGGAAGCAAGAAATGTATGCTGTAAGAAGTCTTACAGTTTTGAGTTTGATTTAAACTCAAATATTCTAATGCCAGTCAAAAATTGTGACCCTTTCGAGTACTAAAACCCATTTATACATAAGGTAAAGCAGACATATATTCGGATGGCATCAAAGACTTAGCCATTAACACATCTATAAACTAAGGCTTAGTTCAGAGTCGATCAAATATGATTTGTATACTCGCTCACACAGTGAGCAGAGTATATTCGTTTTGAGACCTGTGAATATCGCGTGAATATTTCTATATAAATAGAGGAGGAGTCGAAGCTTGGTATAACTATGAGTAAAGCAAACTGAAGCCGAAATTAACAATTCAAGCTGACGATCTTGGCTGAAGATCGATAAACGATTACCAACACTCAATAAGTGTTCAGATATTTGAGTGGAAACAGGCTTAGAGCAGTCGAGTGCAATTATCTATGACACTTATGCTTCTAGCTGAGCCAACGATGTGTCATGTAGAGCAACTAAGAGGTACAGCAAACAGGCTATGCAGAGTATCTAGTCAGTCGTGCAGGTCTAAGCACACTTTAAGATTAGGTTTCTCGGGCATCAGTTATGTAAAGCATCTATAAAGTCGGTGTAATCTGATTGATATTCCAAAAGTTTCGAGCTGAGCGCACAGTCAAATGACTCGTTGCGTAGGTAGGGTATTTGTTGGTCTCTTTCGAGCAACTTCTTGCACGTCTTAGCGAAAAATTCTTTGGCAGCAAGCACAACTACAACACACACACACGCACACACACAGACAGAGTCGTGTTGGGTGTGCTATGCAAAAATATCAACTACGTAAAATAAGTGAGCGGCAGAGCAGCGACTGCGACTGCGACTGCGACTGCGACAACGACGACGGCGACAGCTCTGACTGCCGATTGGCGCACACATTGGCAAACGAGAGCACTTTATTTTTAAATGTTTTAAAAATACAAGCATTATAGAATTTAGCGGCTTAGTCATAGCAGAAAGCGCTGCGCGATAGCCGAAAAGAACCAAAATATGCCATGCGAATTGACCAGAACTGCGATACACAGCCCCAGAGCGGGGCGAAACCGAACGGAATGGAACAGCCATAAGAAAAACTAAACACACACACACACAGTTGTTGAGGCGCTGGTGATGAGCTGGCCAAGATGACACACAAAAGATCACGAGATCATGCGAACAGAGATTCATCATGGAGCGATCTAGGCGAAAGCCAGAAGAGCTTTTCTTGTCTGTGCAACACGAATCGTATGGAATGGTGTGGAATTGAGACAAGGTGTGGAATTAAGAGATAACACAAAATATTCAAAACATGCACGAGTTCAAAGCGAACAGAGATTCTCACAGAAGCGATCTCAGTGAAAGGCAAAAGATTATTTCTTGGCTGGAAATGGAATGGAATTGAACTCAGGCGATAACTGACGATATTCAATAGATAAGGGTTGTTGACGAAACGATCAAAGTGAAAGCCAAATTGAATGGAATGGCAATGAGTCAAGTGATAACTGACGATAGTCAATAGATCACACGAAATCGATATCAGAGCGAATAGAGGTCCTCAATAAAACGAACTCAGTGAAAGCTTAAAGCACGTTTCCCTTGTGGGAATGGATGAATGGAACGAATGGGAATTGGCACAGCGTTTGGTATATATGATAAAAATGATAAGATTAATGTAGAATGGATCAAACACTCAGAGCAAAAGAAAATACTCGAAGAAAAGCTTCGAGTAAAATGTAGAAGAACTTTCCTAGTATTTGAACATGGAAATGGAACAAGATTTGAAATGAAAAATTTCATAGATCACCAGATGGAAGCAGCACAAATAAAATCAAAGCTTATTGCTATCACGATCATATCATATCGTTAGATCAGTTTGCGATCTTTGAGTCTGTCTCCTGCATCAGCATCAGGCACCTCGAAGATGATTTGTATCAGAGTAGAGAAGAGGCGAACAGAAGTATGGAAGAACAATAAAATAGTGTAGCAGTCAGTGGGATCCGTTTGATCTGATCTGATCACATAATACCTGTTGAGTAGCGTGATCAGCGTTGATCAGCCGATTGCCGATTGCCAATTGCCAATTGGCAATTGCCAATTGCATAAGGGCCTGGCGAGCTGTTTACTGTTTGTTGTACAAGTGCCAAATGATTAACACCCGCCAACAAAATGGCGGGCGGCGGCGCGCACACCAAACGTTTACGAATCGCCGCAAAGAAGACGAGCAAAAACGTTGCCAAAGCGAGAGAAATCAATCAAAAAACTAGTTCGATTTTCATGTTTTTCGTTAAATGAATACATTTTTTATTTCTTGTTCAGCTTTTGTTTTGTTTTTTTTTTTTTTTCATCTTTTTGTTTTTGTTTCAATATATAAAAATACTGTTTTAAATATATATATAATATATATATTTAGGGGCACGTATGGATATATATATATAAAGTTTTGCGAAAAAAAAACATCTCTTGTATATAAATATATAGTGTATATATGTATATTGTGTATAGATATAATAGATGTTGTAAATATACTCTATATATATAGAGAGATATTTATATATATATAACTAAATATCTATATAATTCTTTATATGCATCCGCAGTTTTTAACAATTTATTCAAATTTTGTTGTTGTTTTTCATATCACAAGAATTTTCAATTTACCAAAAAAAAAATACATGTATACAATTAGTGCATATATTTATATATATATATCTATTCTTAACAATTATGTTTGTATATATAGAAGTCTAGATCTATATATTTATCAACTATAGATGAATTACACATTTGATTAGTTCCCGTTTTGTTAACTCAATTCTGTGGGCTGGCCACGCCCACCTCTATTTTACTTCTTTTCTTAGCCATGACAACAAAATTCATATATGTGCATGTGTATGTGTGTTTGTGTTTGTGTGTTGTGTTTTTTTTTGTTTTGTTTTTAAAGCTTTCTCTTACAAACTTCTGAATTTCATTATTTTTAACTCAGTTGCAGTTGTTGTTGTAATTTTGAATACCCTTGCAGCGAGCATATAAGCTGAAGCAGTTAGCAGGCAACAGACATATATATATAGAAATTGGCATAGGAACAATTGCTTTAAAATGAAAATGTTCAAAAAATAAAAATAAATTTTTAAGTTTAAATTTAATTTAATTTTTAATTTTTTTTTTGTAATAGAAAATCTCTTAAAGGAAACAATTGTTCTTTAAATATATCGCACCAGAATATAGACATCTACATATATATGCATATATATATATTCTCATTCACTGCAAAGATATTTCAAAATATTTAAGTTTTTGTTTTCCAATAAAAAAAACTTTTTTTCATTTAAATTTAGCGTAAAATTTTTAGTTAATTAAATTTTCTGCGTGATTATATTCCATACGTTTTTGTACATAATTAAATTAGTTATTTACACAAACAAAACTAATAAAAAAACTTACTCTTAAAATATAGTAAAAAAAAAAACTTAAAAATAATTACAATAATTAATTGTTTAAATGTATGAAAAAAAAATTAACTAAACGTTAAATGTGGCTTAAAAAGAATTTGTTGCTTAATGTAAAAAAAAAAATATTTCTTTAAAATTTTAATTACAATTAAAAATATTTTGTTTTCTTCTTGATATATGACAATTGCTTAGGCATATGTGTGGGGTGGGTGTGGGTGGTTGGGTCAGGTTTTGATATGTTTTTTTTTTATTATTTTGTTGGCTTTTGGAAGTAATTAATTAATTATATTTGAATTAAAATTAACAATTAAAACAGGCAAAAAAAAGGATTTTTTTCTTTTGTTTTTAGACTTTTTGTTAATCTGTAACTTACAAGGCCCAGGAAGAGGCCCTAGGCCACGCCCCCAAACGCTTGCTAAGGTGGGTGGTTCGATTGCTGCTGTGGATGGCAGCAACTGTTGCTGCCGCTTAGGCCAGCAGTGTGATGGGCGCCGCCCTGCTGCTGTTGGTGGGCGTGGCTGTTGCGCCGCCCGCCGCAGCCGAGTTAAGACGTGCCAGCGCCTCCTGATCAAGCCACCGCTGCATCTGCTGTTGCTGCTGCTGCTGCTGCATTAGATTGTCGTTGTAGACGGCGGCATGCACCTGCAAATTGAGGCTGTAGCCGTGCGTGGAGGAGGAGCTGGCGCTGGGGCTGTCGCTGTATGTGGAGGAGCTGCTCTCGTAGCCGGACACGGGCGAGCCTTTGGGACAGCAGAAGCCGATGGGCGATAGCGCCGGCGCCGAGAAGGGGCTGAGCACGTTAATTGTGGGCGTGGCGGGCTTGCTGCCGCCACAATTGCTGCTGTTGCTGCTGCTGCTGCAGCTGGTGCTGCCTTGAAAGTGCTGCTGCTGCTGCTGTTGCTGTGCCTGCTGCTGCTGCTGAGGACTCCCGGCGTGAAACGGCGGCAGCGTTGCTGCAGCGGCTGCATAGGGCATCAGCAGCGACGGCGGCGGCGGTGACTGAAAGCAACTGTTGCTGCTGCTGCCGCCGGCAAACGGATGATTGCTCCAGATGATCGGCTCCCGCTGCTTGGGCGCGACTCGCTTCTTCTTCTTGCTGCTGGCGCTGCTGCTGCCATTGAGCGTGGCATGCTCCTCATCATCGGCATCCGCATCGCACTCGTCTTCAACGCGCAGCTCAAGCTGTTCCTGATCCTGGTCATGCTCCTGCTCCTGCTCCTGTTCTCGTTCCCGTTCCCGTTCCCGTTCTTGCTCCTGTGCTGCACTCTCGTCCAGCAAATAGGGCTTGAACAGCTTCACCTGCTTGGCGGGCAGCTTGTGCTCAGCAACAGTTGCTGCTGCCGCCTCAGCCTCAGTCTCGGCCTCAGCCTCCGCCTCCACATCGATGTCCACATCGTCGTCCGCCTCATTGTCGCTGGGCTCGCATTTGATGGCCTCCAGTTTGCTCAGCTTATCCGCCGGGCTGCTGTTGCTGCAGCTGCTCTCGCCTTGCCACAGCGTTTGTGCCGCGCGCTTGCGACAACCCAGGGGCAATGATTGCTGCTGCTGCTGTTGCTGTTCTAGCTGCAACTGTTGCTGTTGTTCGCGCTGGCGTCGCGCTGCGCTGCTTAGCGACAGATCCATTGGCGCGGGCAGTGGCAAATAATAGGCATAGGCAAGCGGCTGTTGCTGCTGTGTTGCATGTTGCTGCGGTGCGGGCTGAGGAATGTGCTGACTGTTGTCGTTGTTGTTGTTATTGTTGTTGTTGTTGTTGTTGTTGCTGCTGTTGCTGGTTATTGGCACGGCATTTGGCACTTGTTGCTGCTGCATGGTTGAGCAATATGGCAACGTTGTGGCGCTGCTGCAACTGTTGCTGCTGTTGCTGCTGCTGCTGTTATTGTGGCAATTGTTGCTGCTGCTGCTGCTGTTGTTGTTGTTGGCAAAGGCTGCTACCACAGCTGCAATTTTGGCGGCCGACAACGTATAGCTGCTGCCGCTGTTGCTGCCACTGGCGCTGGCAACTATTGCTGTTGTGCCATTGCTGTGGGGCAGCAGAGGTGGTGGCGGCGGCGGCGGTGCCAGCGGTGGAGCGGCTGCTGCTGCCGCTGCCGCTGCTGCAGCTGCGGCCGCCAATTGATGAGGATGCGGATGAGTGTGGGGCGCGGCAAAGCTGTTCGTCAGCATCTGATGGGCATGCGCGGCAGCAACAGCTGCTGCCACGGAGGCGGCCGCTGCCGCCTGATGGTGATGATGATGGTGATGATGGTGGGCGGCCAATGCATGCGGCAGCTGATGGAACTGATGCGGCTTCATTGTAACTGTTGGCGGCGCCAACGGTTGCGGCGGCGGCAACTGTTGCTGCTGCTGATGCTGATGCAGATGCTGCTGCTGTTGCTGCTGCAATTGCTGCTGATGCTGCTGCAACTGTTGCTGCTGCTGCTGCTGCTGATGGTGGTGCTGCTGCTGCTGTTGATGCTGATGCTGATTGTTGGCCACCGACGAGCGCAAATTGGGCTCGCATTGCAGCCACTTTTGTATCTGGCGTCGATGGATGTTGTACTTGCGCGCTGTGGCACGCTGATTGCCCTTGCAGTCGTTGTCTTTGCGGTACGACTCGAGCACCTGCAGCTTGAATTGCGGCGTGAAGATGCGACGTGAGCCCATTTTGGGGCTGCAGGCGCTGCTGTTGGTGCTGCTGTTGCTGTGGCTGTTGCCGTTGCCATTGCTGTGGCGCTCTGCAACTGTTGTCGAGTCCTTGACAGGTAGCTTATGTTGCTCCTGTTGATTAAAGCTCAATGCGGCGGCTGCTGCCATGGCTGCGGCTGCTGCTGCGGCGGCGGCAATGCTGCTGGGGCTGCTGCTGCTGCTGCTGTTGTTGTTGTTGTTGTTGTTGTGGCTGTTGTTGCTGTTGTTATTATTGTTTATCGAACTCTGTTCGCTGTTATCCATTTTAGTTGCTCTGGCAATATTTGCTTTGTGGTTTGTAAAACGTTTTGTATATCAAAAATAGTATTTACAATATAACGTAGATATATATATTTATGTTCATAAATATATACAGTTTTTAATGTGCTTTAAAAGTTGGTGGCGTTGTTGTTGTAGCTGTTGCTACTTGCTGGCGACGCTGGCGACGCTTGCGCTTTCATAACTCGCGATCTGGCAGCGCTGGCACTGGAAACAAGTGAGCGCAACAACAAAAACACGTTAACGTTGTCGTCTTGGAAAAACAACGAGAAACAAAAAGTTGTTGCTTTTTATTTGATATTTGGTTTTTGGTTGTTTTTTTTTTTTGTTTTTTGTATTTTGTTTTTTTTTTTTGTATTTGTTTCTATTTAATTTTTTTTTTGTATTGGTTGTTGCTTGAATTACTTGTAATTTGCTTGTGGACTGTTGTAAATGTTAGATGAAAGAACACATGAGCACAACACAAAAAAAATATAGTATATATATGTACATATGTGAAATTTGTAGCTTGAATTCATTTGCACACAGAAAAACACACAGAGAAAAATATCGTTGCTCTTGTTTGGCAACGCGACGCGATCCGCAACCGCACGGCAAGGAATCCAAAACACAATTGTTCTGCCCGCTGCGCTCTACGTTCTAGACTGGCTAGCCCGTCGTTGTCGGCGCTGCTGCTGCTGCTGCTGGCGCTGCCGCTCACACACACTCACACACACACACACACATGCAAGTGTGCGCGCGAGAACGAAACGAAACGAATCGAACTGAAATGAACGAATGAACGCAGCAATAGCACAGCGCAGAGCTCACGCGCGCGCCTCTCAGTCTGAGAGTATGAGTGCAGTCGACGTTTTGTCTGCCTGTGTGCGTTAGTGTGTGTGTGCTCTTGCGTGTGTGTGTGTGCCTGCGTATCTGTGTGCTGTTCTAATAGCTCATCAGCCGCAGTCGCAGCGCCGACAGCGCAGCAAGTGTGCGTGCATCTGTGTGTGAGTGTGAACGAGTCAGACACTTGGCGGGCCCAAGAGTCGCCGCCGCCGCCGCCGCCGTCAGACCAAACCAGTTGTTGTTATTGCTATTGTTGTTGTTGTTGCTCTTGATGTTGCTGTTGTTGCTTTTGCAGCCAAGCCAGCAGCAACAGCGCTGAGCATTGCAGACAAACTGACGACAATCGTCGGCGAGGTGTCTGCGCTCCTGTATTATGCATGCATGTGTGTGCGTGCATTCGCCTATGGGTGTGTGTATGTGTGTGTATAAGTGAATATGTTGAATGACTGTGTGTGTATGTGTGTGAGAATACTTCTTGTTGTGCTCATGATGGAATAACATACAAACATACGTATGTGTATATATATACGTATGTGTATATATATATATATATATATAAATATATATATATTAATATAAATATAAATATATTATTCCATCATGGTTGTGCTTGTTGCGACCGCGGCGCTTTTGTGTGGCTGGTGTAGAGTTGATTTTCTGCTCCGACCGACGACCGACAACCGACGCGTTGGACGCATCGGACAGAAGGGGACGGACATGAACGACGATTGCTGGCCCTGCCCCCGGGCACAGCCCAGCCGCCTGCCTTACCACAGGCTGACTAACTGACAAGCGCTGTGTGGTGTGCTGGCCACTCAAACTGTGCAAAGTGGGGCAAAAGCAATTGTTACGGATCGTCGTTAATAAAAATATTTAATATATGACATGATCAATTGCAATGTTCTTGTATAGAGAAACTTACGCTTACTGAAAGATTGTTTGTGCTAAAATATTAAACATTTCATTTCATAAATTATCATATACATTTATGTTTTTACAACCTGCAATCGTATGAAAATTGTTGTGTTTCAATGTATGCATAATTTGTTTTTTTTTTTCATGCCCACATATATAAAATTTTGATTTATGTTTTCGTTAAACAAACGCTTTGGCCCACTGTGCAGTGTGTGGCTGTGCGCCAAAGGAATAGCAGCTCCGACAGCGACGACTGCAAACCACGTTGCGGCGGCTGCAGCCAACTTGCGCTACAAGTCGTGGCTGCCAGACATTCTGGCACTAGGGCTCGGCCCGGCCGACATGTTTAGTGCTTTTGCTTTTGCTCTGTCGCCTCGACGCAGCGTCAAATCGTCACATGAACTTGTTGAGCGCTGCCCGTCGTACGATTTGAGTATGCGTGTGTGTGTATGTGTGTGATTGGAGAAGAGGGGGTTGAGTGCACGCCGTGCCGTTGCCTCTCTGACTCTCGCTCTCTTTGCTTATGCTCTGTGCATGCACCTATATGTCTATGTGTATGTGCGTGTGCGTGTGCGTGTGCGTGTGTTACGTACACAATCGAGAATCAACTGTTGAATGTGTAATGCACTGGTGTGCTGCTGGCTCACGATGGAATAACATGTTATTCCATTATGAGAGCGATGCATTTTTTTTATTTATTTTTTTTTGTTGCTGCTGCTTGTGTGTATGCATGCTTGCATGTGTGTGTGTGTGTGTGTGTATGTTTTGTGGTTGCTGTTTATATGCATATACACAAATACAAAGTTTGTGTGTGTGTGTGTGTGGTGGTTTTTGGCTGTGGGTGCATTAGTCGTCTCCGTTGCTATCGCTTGGCGATGCTGCCGTGGCCGCCACCTGACTAAGCTTAAAGACAAAAGGGTATAGAACGCAGCGTGGCATAAGTACAACAAATCCAATTGCACTAAAATAACAACGACAGCCATTGCAAAAAAAGCATAGAACACAACAGCAGCAGCAGCAGCAACAACAACAATAACAACAGTAGCAGGGACAGTGGGCCGCACTTGTTGCAAATGACAAACGAAATTCGCTGTCCGAACGCGCAGAGACAAAAATCTGCCCTGTTGCTTTTGCTGCCGATGTCGCTGTCTCTGTCGCTGTCGCTGCCGCAGCCTCTGCTTCTGCTACTGCCGCGATGATCGTCGTCAACTGGAATTCATGAATGAAACACATATGCATGTATTTGTGTGACTTTGCTGGCGTTATTGTTGTTGTTGTTGTCACTGTGACGACTGCGTGTGTATGCAAATTCATAAATAAAAAATGTGTTTTCTGTCTATGGCTAGTTGTTGTTGTCGTTGTCGCTGTTGTTGCTGTTGCTCTTGTAGCCAGCATCATTTGCGCGTGCGATATTGAAGAGCAGTTAAAGCGCGGGCCCAAGGGGCTAAAACGAGGCATAAACGAAAGAGTCGAAAGACTCACGCAACATGATTAGCGGTGCTCGTCCAAAGGCAGCACCAACAACAACAGCAAAAGTCGATAAAAAGCATTGACTCACCTAGTCAAAGCAACAGGCGACGCTCGCTCGCTCGCTCGCTCGCTCGTTCGCTTGCTGATGATGGCCGATGATAGATCGCTGCTACTCAGCAATGCGCACGCCTAGGCGCGCGAGGGGGACGGGGCGAGTGAGAGGGAGAGAGAGGCGTCCAGGCAGGAGAGGACACTGGACACTGGACACAACGCGCATAGATTCCCACGTCGTTGCCTTTGCCTGGTTCTTGTTGCTCTTGTTGTTGCTGTTATTCTTCTTCTTCTTCATCTTCTTCATCTACTTTTTGTACTTTTTGTTGTTGGCATCCCAACACGCCCCAAAAAAGTACGACGCGTTGTCTGGCAACGTTGAGCACTCCCTCAGCCCCCCTCCTCACTTCTGCCCCTCTCGTCCACCCCTTTACCCATACTAATGCGACGCCGACGCCTGCACATGAAAATGTTTTTGAATTGCATTTCCAAGTAACAAACAACAACAACAGCAACATCATGCGCCCAAGGAATAACAAAAAGCAAAAACAGAAAGAAAAAAAGTTGAAAAAGAACGAAAACTTAAAAAAACAACAACAACAGCAACTCACAGGCAGCGTTGCATGCGTGTGTGTGTGTGTCTGTGTGTGTGTGTGCGTGTTTAAAATAAAATCAAAAGAATTCCACTTTTGTGGCCCCGTCGGCTTCTAAATCGATTTATCAAAAAGAAGAAAACAAAAAAAAAACAAAAAAAAAAGAAAAAAAAACACATTCAAGTAAAAAGCGGAAAAGACGCAGGCAAAGAGATAAAAATTGAATATAAAAAGGTAAAGGTAACGTAAAAATCGAAAACCTATACACACAATAGATGCACACACACACACACACACACACACACACACACACACACACACACACACTCATGCAGACAGAGACAGACACATGAATTGATTAAAAAGTAGATGGAAAAAAAAAAACAAAACAAAACAAAAAATCATTTGGTCAACGGAGGAGGCGGTGCGCAGGGGAAGGAAGGGGGGGGAGTTTGCGGGGTAGCCAAGATCTTGAAGCACAAAGGGCGCGGTACGATCATGTGGGCAGCGAGCAGTGAGCGGCGAGCGGCGAGCGGAAACGGGGCGACACATAAAAGCGACAGCAAGACAAAGACAGAAGGAGAGAAAGAGCGAGAGAGCGTGGGCAAAGAGAAACGGAAAGCGGGGGCAAACGCCATTGGGCCCGAACCCGACGCCGTGCTGTCTGCCTGCGAATGCAGAGCATAAGCCCACACAGACAAAGATCGAGCTATATAAACTCACATACAAGCGTCTATATGCATATATATATATATATATATATATATATATATATATATATATATATATATATTTGTCTGTGTACATGGATATTGACGTATATAGAGAAACGAGTCAGGCCTGTGGAGTGGGCAGGGGCAACACTTGGAGACAGCAACTCAAAGATCGACGCGCACGCGCAACCCAATCCCAGCTTAACTAAGCCAAGCCAAGCCAAATGAAATCGAATCGATCGGCGCATAATAATATTATAATCTTTATATATACATATGTCTGTGCATATACGCAAACAAGATCAACGATGATCGATCGAGTATTGGAAC